AATAACAGACAGTTATTGACTATTGGCTTTACTTTATTGCACACTAAAAACAAATAGAAATACCCAATTTCAGGATACTAAACTGATAGTTAATGCTATCACTGCAATCAAAATCAATGTATCGAGTCGGCAACACGTCGGTATTTTGGTTCGTAAAAGTATATTAGGCTTCATCATTAAAAGAAGGTAACTGAGATTTTTTTCATTAATTAATCTCGCATGCCGCCCGCTACAGTGCGTGCCCCAGTGTGCGCTTGGCAACGTTACGTTTGCAGTTGCAAAAACACAATTTAGTCTTTCTGCTTCGGGTGCGTTTGCAGTGGTCCCCAATATTTGCGCTAGTAAATTAGCAGTAGTGCAGTAATGCTGTTGGGCCGGGTTCAGGGTCCTCATTACGCAACATCGTTTAGTGTGGTGCAATTACACGGCGGATGTTGGGACTCGGACCCGCTAAATAAATAAAAAATAATTATAATTATAGAGGCCCGCAGACGGACCAACATGGGAGCGACGGGCAAAGGAATGACTCGGCTGGCCCGCGCCCGGAGTTTCAATTAAGTTTGAAATATAGCCGACCTTAAACCCGATATTGTTCCATCCTTGCAAAATAAATGGAGTGCAAAATGTGTATGAACAATCTCTGTAGAATTTTGAGAATTCATTCAGACAACAAAAAATTATGTGTAAGTTTGTAACGTTACAAACAAAGAAAAATAGCTCTATCACGTCATGATTAATACTTGGTAGTTTTTAACTTACTGAAAATATTAAAAGTTGTTATATGTATAAAAATAAAGTATATAAATAAATAACATGATTGCATAAATCATTATTAGCATTATGCAAGAAAATTAAATATGAAGACCAATTTGTTCGACTCCATTCTTCGTAAGAAATTCGGAAAAAAGAGTATTTCTTGGAGATCGTTTGCCTTAGTCTGACTTCTTAATTCCTTGGACTGTAAAAATGTGAAGCTTTTCATAATGGGTTCGCTTAAAGTGTAATTTGCTCCGCTTGAGAAACCGCCCCGCAAAATTTTTGTCCCATCATTACTCTGAGTATAACTAATCAAAATTATTTTGCTGCCAAAACCAAAGAATGCAGACAGAATAACATTCGTCATTAAATACTCGTGTTTTGTTTGTTTCACATAGCGTGCTTGTAGTTAACATCCATTGAGTTATAATGTACTACGTACTAGAGAAGACATCTCAACTAGNTAAACACTATAGACATGCGGGAGCATGTTAAGCCTAGTTCCAGGGAGGGGACTGCACCGTGCGTATATTTAGACGAACCAATTGGAGCCACTTTTGACTCCTCATCATTCAAAAACTACTGTGCATTAACTCTTCAAATTTGGCTCATGTATTGAAACTTGCAAGATATACATGAGCTTTAAATTTCATAAATATACCTCAAACGGTTATTTAGGTATTGACGTTCAAAAATCGACATTTAGAACACTAAAATCTATCTATCACCTGTGAAATGTTCAAATTTACTGGTTTTTTATTTGTTCCTTTGTATTTACATAACTACCTTTCTGGATGCCAAATTTGAACCTTCGAGGTCATCTGGAAGTGGTTAGAATTTGGTCTATAGGTCAGACATGTAGATTTTTGGACGTCAATACCTAAAGAACCGTTTGAGGCATATTTATGAAATTTGAAGCTGATGTATATCTTGCAAGTCTCAATACATGAGCCAAATTTGAAGAGTTAATGCACAGTAGTTTTTGAATGATGAGGAGTCAAAAGTGGCTCCAATTGGTTCGTCTAAATATACGCACGGTGCAGTCCCCTCCCTGGAACTAGGCTTAACATGCTCCCGCATGTCTAGAATATTAGCTCAATGTTGATTTAGTCGATTTTCTCCTGATGGGAACATGTAAGACAAAAATTAAATTTCCAATTTTACAGACCTTCTAGAGCAAATGCCGCAAAAACTATACAAGATATAGAAAAACTTGACGGTCTCGCCTGTAGCAAATTAAATAAGCTTTTTTTGGTTCATAGTAGTCATGTCACTAGGACGCATAGTTTCCGAGGATTAAGCGAAAAACCGAAAAGTGGCACCTTTAAACCCCCCTCTCCCCGCCGGCTCAAGGGCTAAGGACGGGGACTTTTGCTATGTTCACCTCCTAACTAGTCTAAATAAAGTCCTGAAGTCAGAAATTGTGTTCTACAGTTTTCCATCTATAATGCTTTATTGACTGGACTAGATGGTATATGTGAGTAACGTTTTTCAGATCGGGAATTCATCGTGGAATTGCTGAAGGGTTTGAAGTACGAAAATATGGGGATGCCTGAGCGTCAATCTGAGAAGATGGAATGTGGGGAGCATGCTCAGACGGAGCCCCATACCCCAGAGACTAGCGTGTATTCCTCGTTGAGCGATATGGACATAAAGCAAGACTGCCGCGTCAAGATCGTCAAGGTCACCAACGTGTACAAAGTCGCCTATCTCAAGCACTTTATCAAACAAAAGCGACTACGACGTGCCCATAAACATGCGCTTTTGAAGAAAAGGGTAAGAAATACAATTTTCTCCCCATGTCTTTCGCTATCGCAACATAAAACTGAACGAGGTGGCCAATCTCAAACGGTCGATTCGAACCAATTGCTTTACTCTACTATCAGGTAGACGAGACTTGTCGAGATACTGCAAACACTCAAACGCCAAAGGTATCCAAGGGAGGTTGGGACTGGAAATTTNCTAATTTTAGTCTAAGGGAGGGGAGCTTAGATTACATGACAGGAAACGCACAATGTAATAAAAGAAAATAATGTAAGTAGCTGAACCTTTTTGCTATTGAGCACCATGAAAATTTAACACAATTTAGCCGATTTGTTTATTTTCACAATCGATTCACAATGTTTATGATGAGGCGACCGCAGGAACGTCACTATTCGTGCAATCCTATCAATGAAGTACGACATTTTCTGGTGCAGATTTTATCGCCATAATTATGAAACTTGATAGTCATGGATTTGACTGACAGCTGTCCGTCAAATTCCCGCCCCGCACCCCGCACTGTACATATTTTGTTCGCGATGTCTGTTCTATACGTAGTAATATTACTTCAATGTTAACATCACCGTGTTTACGCACTTTACGTTGTTCTTTAATAAGTTTATACTTTTCACTTAATATAGTCATAACTAAGTAGGTATAGCCATCGTCGGTAATAAATATTTTTTAAATAATATAAATAAATATCTATCCTACATGTTGAATTTGTAACAACTCAATCTCTTGGTTTTTATTGAGTGACCATTCATAATAACTGGAAGAGAATGCCACATGGCATTAAGCTCGCCTGTTGTACCACTGTATTTTTATGTGTGCAATAAAGATTTTAAATAAATAAATAAATAAATAACGAAACTAAAATTGCCTTCAAATAAAATTACTGATATCGTAGCGCTTTTCGTAGCATACCTACTAATTGTTTGCCCTCTACGGATTTGTAACAGCAATAAGCAGGTAGTACATCCCAACTAATATTATAAATGCGAAAGTAACTCTGTCTGTCTGTCTGTCTGTCTGTTACGCTTTCCCGCTTAAACCTCGCAACCGATTTTGATGAAATTTGGCATAGAGATAGTTTGAGTCCCGGGAAAGAACATAGGATAGTTTTTATCCCGGTTTTTGAAACAGGGACGCGCGCGATAAAGTTTTTCTGTGACAGACAAAATTCCACGCGGGCGAAGCCGCGGGCGGAAAGCTAGTAACTTATAAAGCTTGTTTTGCTAGAAACACCCAATTTCAAAGTTCTTATAGCTCGGTGTATCATAGTCTAATATGGGCGTGTTTGCTTTGTCAACGTTTGATTGCTGTTTGACAAGCCAGGAGAGGCGAGTGCAGATGGATTGCCTGCCGCAGGCGTTTCTCATCCCATATAGGGTCATTGTAAAGAGTAAACTGCTGAATTTGAATTCCCATAGTTTAACACGTAGCTCAGTCATAAAAGTAAGAATCACACGACTTCTAAGGTATGTATAAACAAAGTGCAGTAATTCTCCGTTTTGTGAATTATGTGTTCAGTCTTACTATATCGTACCTACCTATCTGCTCTAAAAGCTTTTTCTCATGCATCTGTGAATACATTCAACCTCTGAAATCAATAATGGCCTTCACACATTAATCAAAATAGGGTCTTACAGTACTTTGTACGTTCCGTTATTAAGTCTTGTTATGATCGTGCGAAATTTTAAGCTTCAAGTTGGTAAACTATAAATAATACTATAAAATATAAGACATCACAATACCGGCCCCATGATATTACATTGTACCTATTTATATGTAGCAGGCAAGACACAGTGATTAACAACATGAAATTAATTTAAAATATCACAGTTTTTTGTCTCTAAGAATAAAATATAACGTTAATTTATACGATTCATCGCCGAAGGCTGCGGACGGAGCGATAATCTCGAACCTTGAGGAACGTGACAAAAACTGAACGTCGAGATTGGAAAAACTGGATCACGCGCGACGTAATCTGGCTCGTGAGGAAAAAATCTTAGACTAGAAACGTGCCTCCTCATCTAAAATCTGACTACTTTCAGACCTACCTGAACTCTATACCTAATGTATGGATGTTTTCATGGAATTTTTAACAGACAGCTAAACAAAAACTTTTAAGCTTTTTTAAGTCTCAACAATAAAGTTTCGAAGGGATCTGTTAGATGCTTTAAATTTTGAATAGGTTTATAAGATCATAAATTGGTTAGGAACCCTGTCTTAGCATAGGTAGTAACGATTAGACTTCTTCTTGTCGACAACAAACCTACACAGCGTCAGCCCAAAACTCCGCCACAAAGATGTTTGGGCACGCAGGGTACGACATCATGTGCTTCGTCGACTGGGGAACAAAAACACACTTGCACTCCTATCACAATTAGAGTGCAAACTCTATTAGGTATATTAACTCTTAGGTTCAATAAATTAAATTAATGAAATATTTTTTAATAACCAACTATCTTTGCCCACAGAGTGAATACCGGTTCGCGGGCGGGGGGTATCCGCGGGCGAGCAGCGGGGGCGGGCGGAGCAGCGGCTTCTGCTCCGCGGCGCTGGTGGGCGGCGCGCTGCTGGCCGCCTTCGCCGTGCTCGCGGTCGCCGCCCTGGCCTTCTACATGGGCGCGCTCAGGCCAGATAATGGAGAACGTAAGTAATTAATAACATAGAGGCAGCTTCGGAATGCCTTGCCTTGGTGAGCCCCACATAAGGGTAGGTTATGTGGGGCTCACCAAGTCAGAAGGACGAGGCATGCATACCCAGTACCCACTAAAAAGACCCCGGTGCTCCGTCACTAGCCATAAGTGGGAGGAAACTGTGGGATTCCCCCTCCCGGTCTACCACAGCCCTTCAGTCCAACCAAAGCATGGAGGGAAGCTAAAGAAAGAGGCTATCTAACAGGAATATGTGTTATTTATGCGCTAATTACAAATACCCAATTTACTCGGCGCGTCGGTTTATGACGACACAATCCAAAATTAATAAGCTGATTAATCTAGCCAACAGTCGACAGCAGATCAGACTTTACATTTTTGTTAGAAAATAGCATAACTCTACGATTATGTCAAAGTGTTTAAAAGCATCATTTTTCTTTTACTTAGGGACTACACATCAAACAGAGAACGGGCAGCAGCGTTCTCTGAAAAACATCAATCTTTTAAAGTGCGATCTCCGACCCGCCTGCTAAGCGTGGGGATTATGGCAAAACCCTCCACTATAGGGTATAGAGGAGGCTCATAGTCCAGCAGTGGACTGTAAAGGGTTGTTGATGATGATGAATTTTCTTTTAATTTTCCAGCAATGATGACGTTCGAGGGTTCATTCCGCGTGACGCGAGGAGACGTGTACGGCGGCGCGCCGGACAGCCCGGCGTGGCGGGAGCGCGCGCGCAGATACGGCGCGGCGCTGCGGCAGGTCTACGCCGGCCCTTCGCCCCTGCGGCATGCCTTTGCCGGCGCCCTCGTCACCGGCTTTGGAGACCGACGCCTAGATGTCCACTTCCGACTTTACTTAGATAGAAGAAAAATACCTAGGTAACAAATTATCTGATTCAACCAATAGTTAAAAAAGAAACTCAAAATAAATGCTAAAATAATTATTTGTACTCTTTTCAGCACCGTATCCAATATAGAAGAAACGCTCAAGAATGTTCTAGTTCAAGATCTACTTTCGAAACATCCAGCTTTTGGACAAACTATTAAGGTAGACACGACTAGCATAGTAATTAAGAGAGATTTAGAACACACATATCATTCAGAATCATACGTAAAGGAAGCCATGAACGAAAGTATGGCCACTAGTTATCCAAAATCGTTATCTCCGCAAAATTCAAAAGACAAAGCTCTACAAAGCAGAATAGGAGTTGTACGAAAAACTACTGTAAAACCAAACCAATCTAATAAAGGAGAAGTTGAGGAACCCGAAATAGACATTGAAAATATTCCTGTTGTTCAAGGGACATTTCAGATAACGAAAACAGAAGCAGATATTACGGAGAACAAAAAGAATTCTAGTCCTGTACGTGGTGGCACTCATAAACCTGTACCAGTAGCCAAACCAAGTCCAACGACAAGAGCACCAACTACAAGACCACCAACGACAAAACCAACAACGAACAGAATGACTACGAAACGAATTTCAACAACCACGCCGAAACCAAGGCCTTTCACTATAACCTCTACTCTAAATGTTAAGACAAAAACAGATGCTACGCCGAAAAGGGACTTTGATAACAATTTCAAGAGATCGACGACCACTTCTTCGACCACCACGTCAACTTCAACCACAGCCCCACTAACAACTACTGTGGAAACGTCTACAAATAATGTTTCTCAAATTTTGCTTGATCTCTTAACAAACGAAAATCATTACAAAGAATTACCAAAAATAGATTCACTATTTACAGTTCCACATGTAATTGATAACGAACCATGGAAGCCCATTACTAGACCGTATTATGAAACAACAAGTAAGACCGCACCACCTTCTGAAGAAGTCATCGATCAAAACGTGGAAGATAGAATAGGCGTTGCAGAGGTGGTTGACGATGTGTCGGTCTTAGAAAGTATGCTCACACCTATACCGCCTGTTAAAAACAGAGATAGAACTACGCGCAGACCGGGAGTGTACGTTGATCCCGATTTGGCTGCTGATGTTTATGTTCCGAGTCCCGTTTATACAAGTTTTACACTTCCTACATTTGCACCTCCGGTCAATGGTATGGAAACTTTAGGCTCCGGTTATGTAAAGCCTCATCCTATTCCAGTAGACAAAATTAGTTCCGTAGTAGAAGTACCCGCTGAAATAAGTCCGGATGATGAGGATGATGGAAAACCGGTTCAAAGGCCTCCTAAAGATAAAACTACTTCCATAGTTTTGAATGTGGCTCAGTCTGATAAACAAGATACTAACTTTGAAAAAATTGCCTTTGATGGAGCATCAATAATGAAGAAACCCAATGCCACAACTACTAGCACGACTAGTACTACTAGCACAACTACCTCGACCTCAACAAGTACAACAACTACGTCAAGTACTACAACGAGCTCTTCACCGCCTTCCACAATCGCAGAGTCTGACAGTTTTGAAAAAAGTGCCAACAATACAGAACTTTTAGAAGAGCTTAATAAGAATTTTACGAAAGAAATATCAACAAAACGTCCAAACAATAAAGTTTCTATAATTCCCACTACAAGTGGACCTCTTCATACATGGGAATTAGTAAATACATCAACCAATGATAATGATACATTTAATAAGAATTCGCCTGAGAAATACTACAATGATACATTACAAGCAATAATAACTAAAAATGATGCAGTGTTTCCTAACACTACTCCTCGTTTTCAGAACAAAGTGTCTATATTAAGAAATTTAACAGAGATAATCAAAAGGTACTCGCAAAATAGTACGGAAAAACCAATAAAGGAAACCGAAAGTACTGAAAGGATAGAAGATCGGCAGGGCCATAATAAAATGACAGGTTCAGTTGAAGTGGTACTAGATGACGAAATACAAATAACTACTGCTAGTGTGATCACATTATTACCCGCTAAATCAAATCTAGGTGTAAACCGCCCATTAAGACCACGACCTAAAATAAAAGCAGAAACGCAACCATCAAAAGAAAGCATTCGCAGTTTTTTTCGTAACGACCCAGAGACCCAAAAAATAATTAAGGAATTGACTACCGAAAACTATGTTCAAGTTGTTCAAGTTTCAGAAGAAACTTCGAAAGAGCCTGAGATTGTCACATCTTCGTTGGTGTTTGAAACGGACGGAAACGACTCAGACGACAGCATGGCGTTGGCTACCGTAAGTGATAATATAAAAGTGAATTCTGAAAACATCCCTAGCAAGAACCGACTTCCAAAATCTAGTGATGATCTAAAAAAAGCAACCGATGAAGTTCCTGACGATGGGAAATTAGAGACTAACATCCCTCAAGGAACATATCGTGTGTCATATCATGTCACAGGCAGCGTGAGTAGTAAGCAAGCAAATAAAACACAAAGTCTTCCAGCATATGAATTGGCTTTAGAACCCGATGTTGTTCTCGAAATTCCTTATAATCAAACCAATAGCCTAACGATAGATAAGCTCAAACAACTTGCAAACCTAGCCACTATCTCAGATTCAAATAACAATACGTTATTTCGGTCACCAGGAGGCGTAATTTCCACTAAGGCAATTCCATCTAGTTACACATTAAATCAAGCAGGTTTCAAGATACTGACTAAAACATACAACAAGCTCCAACCGGGAACAAAACAGGATGACAACAGTTTGGACAAACCTGAAAAAACTTATAGTAAACCTTATAACAAGCCATTGAAGAAAGAAGAAAAGGAAATTGTAAAGGATATTGTCAAAGAAGGTAAAAATAACAAATTAAAACATTAATAGATTGCAATAATTAAATTGGCATGATTTAATATTTTTATTCTTTGTAGAAGAATGTAGCAACGTGACGTCTTTCCGGTGTGCATCTGGTGCCTGCTTGCCACTAACATCTCGATGTAACCGCTTGATTGACTGCCCTGGGGGAGAAGACGAACGTGCTTGCACCTGTGCTGACTACCTTCGCGCTGAGTTCTCACAATCCAAGATTTGTGACGGCGTAGTTGACTGCTGGGACTATACAGATGAAAATAAATGTGGTAAGTGTTCTCTTCACAACCACAACAAGTTTCATTAAGCTAGGAGTAGCTTTTATTAAAAAATGTGAATGATGTTTCCAGAATGGTGCGAAGATGGACAATACGTTTGTGCTAACGCTAAACAATGCATCGAGATGTATCGGGTCTGTGATGGAACACCTGATTGTCCTCTCGGTGACGATGAAAAAAGCTGCGTCGCTCTGGCCGACGAATTGGATAACAATGAAGTGGTACCCTATAACGAAGAAGGTAAAAAGCAGCATTTCAATAAAATTTTATTAGCAAAGGAAAATTGTACCTGAAACTTACTTACACTGACAATTTTTTTCAGGTTTTGTGATGGTCCGCAAACGCGGAGTTTGGGGTAGGCTTTGCGTGGAAAGCTTTACAGAGGCAGTTCAGCAAGCCCATAGTCCACTGAAACTTCCAGACCTAGGGAAAGCTGTTTGCCGGGCCCTGACATATCAGTGAGTGTTTATTCACTACTACAGAAATAATTAAAAGTTACATCTGTCTCATAATTAGCTACAATCCACGTTTGTTTGCCGTGGCAGCCTAGCCCAAAGACAAATTATCTAGATGTTCCAATCCTTATTGCTTGTATCCGTGCCTGTCTCGTTAATTGTCCTATATAACTAAATAAAATAAAACAATTTTCAGTGACTCTCCTTGGAGCCGCGAAGCTCGCGAGGGTCGCAAAGCCAGCTCTGTTGGCTACTGGGAGGTGTGGCACAACGCCAACGCCCGCTCCTCGGATACTCGGCTGACGTTCCGCCGCGCCTCGTGTCCGCGTCGCCGAGCGCTGCGCGTGCGCTGCCAGGACCTGGACTGCGGGATTAGGCCGCATGCTGACGCTCAGCAGCCAAGGTGAATTATTGAGCTTGATGTTGAAAGTAATAGGTGCCAGGTTCGATTCCTGTGTGTCTACCATGAGTTTACGTTAGGTGTGCTCGCTAGCGAAAACGTCAAAAATCTCTATGGAGATTTTGTTTCTTGAAAGTAGCCGCTAGGGGCGCTGCACAATATGTCATACAATTAATGTCATTTTTTTACGCAGTCGCTAGCGAGCACACGTAACGTAAACCCATGGTAAGCACACTGGTCGAGTCAATGCGCAATCAATTTTTTTTCAGGTCTGAGAGACCAGACTGTAACTTGTGTAGAATTTTTAGTAAAACACCTTACTTTAAGGTTGTTAACAAACGTACGTTTAACTTTACGGTTGCACCATCTTAGTTTAACTCTGACAAACGTCAAAAATCTGTCAAACTCCATACAAAAAACACCGGTTATCGTCATAGTTACGGTCAAAGTTAGGTGGTGCAACTCAGCCTTAATGTGCCTCCTGAAAGCATCTACTTATTTTCATGTTCGTCTAACCATTATGATAATAACGTAACATAAGGCATAAAATTTATAGATTCTAATAGACTGAGTACTAAGATGGTTACTGAGTTTACCAGTCCCAACTTCTAACTACACGTTCAGCATGACACGGTTCAAGCCACAGACAAAAAATGTTTGAAAGTAGACTCTTTCCTTAACTCATCTCTCTCTCCTTCCGGAGTACCACACCCTGGCACATGAGTTGCAGTGAGTGGTGGTATACATAACGAGAGGTAGGAATAGTCCCGCTAATGTCGAGTACCTTCCAATGCTATTTTGAATTGACATCAGTAATAATTACCATGGTAGCAGAGCTATGCCGGATTAACCCTTATGGAAATTAAGCAATTGTTTAGGGCATCACGTCTTGGGGGGCATCAAAAAAAGCACAGGGCAGGGTAGACATACACGGATGGTTGCTTATGTCATCAAGTAGCCTTAATCCGGTACTGTAGTAGAATAAATAAATAAATAAATATCTTTGGACATTTTACACTGCGCCTCTAGTCCCAAACTAAGCAAAGCTTGTACTATGGGTACTAGACGACGGGATAAACATAATAGTCTTATTAGTCTTGGGCTCGTATCGTCGTCATGCTTCGTGTAGTACCCCAAACGGGCGTTGTTGGCTAGGGTTGTAACTGAGCGCGTGGCGCGCGTGCGTTGGAGCAGGGTGGTGGGCGGCGCGGGCGCGGCGGCGGGCGCGTGGCCGTGGCAGGCGGCGCTGTACAGGGACGGCGACTTCCAGTGCGGCGCTACCTTGATATCGCCCCAGTGGCTGATATCGGCCAGCCATTGCTTCTACCAGTAAGTACTTTTTAATGTCATTCTTCTTTCATTTTCAACCGAAGTAGATATCTGCTAATAATCATTGTCAAGCATTTCAATATAATATTAGCAGATAAATTCATCTAAAAGACGATTAATTTTTGCTATAAGCGTATAGAAGATTAATGGTAACTCTAGCTTTTATTATTAACAGCCCCCTAAGCCTAATGTAACTTCTATTCGACTGATCTCTTTACAAAAGTTTTAACAGTTGCTGTTATCATTTGGTTTACACCCGAACTCAGATAGGTTCTGAACAATAAATGAATTTGTCTCTACTGTTGAGTTTGTATTTTAGGAAAGCCTGGACGCTTTCAAAAAATCATTAATCACACTAATGAGGGAAACCTTTTATTGGCTATACTATCAGTCTAAATCTTATAACTAATATTTTCTATTTATCGCTGTTGGTTTCTATAAATAAATTGCCTTGAAATCCACAGAGCGACTGAAGCGCACTGGGTGGCTCGCTTAGGAGCGCTCCGACGCGGCGCGTGGCCCCGCGGTCCTTGGGAGAGAGTGGCCCGCGTGCGACAAGTCTTGCTCCACCCGCGGTACGCGCCGCGAGGCTTCAGGAACGACATCGCCATGCTGAGGATCGACCCCATCGCGCTACACGCCAGGTTGCGGCCGGCTTGCTTGCCGCCGTCGAGGGCCCAGCCGCCGGCGGGACACCACTGCACTGTGGTGGGCTGGGGACAGCTGTATGAGCATGAGCGTGTCTTCCGTAAGTTTTTGTGATAAATATTAAATAAGACTCGTATGTTATATGTCGGCTACGTGGTCACTAGGAAATCCTTTCTAAACCTTAAATAATAGCGTAGCATAGCGTATACCAAAATAAAGAACTGTGTAGGTTCCTGCAGTAGTGGGTTGGCGTGGCCCCACCCCAAACAAGAGCTGTCTTCCATTGTATACTCGTACACGTCGAAGTCTGGCATTGGACGTCAAAAATGCACTACACTTTACCCCGCGGGACCCTATAGATACAGTTAATGCGCTAGCTATGCAAACTCAATAATCGCAGTGTTTTGGTGTAGGTATGTTCCCATATAGCACTGCGAGCACTGCTCAATGCTCCACACCCACCAGTGAGAGCACTGAACAGTAATCGCAGTGCTATACCGGAACACAGGTCTGGCGCTCTGCATGCAATTGGCATGCGGAGTAAAGGTCCATAACTTGAGCAGGTGATCATTATTATTCTTTTCCACAGCGGACACATTACAAGAGGTGGAGCTGCCAGTGATCTCGACGGCGGAGTGCCGGCGCCGTACGCGCCTGCTGCCGCTGTACCGCGTGACAGAGGACATGTTTTGCGCGGGCTATGAACGAGGCGGCCGCGACGCCTGCTTAGGCGACTCCGGAGGCCCGCTCATGTGCCAGGTGGGTGACACTGTTGTATAACAGCCGGGCTACTGAGCCACCGGTGATATGACGGCGGAGTGACGGCCGCACGCGCCTGCTGCCGCTATACCGCGTCACAGAGGACATGTTCTGCGCGGGCTACGAGCACGACTCAGGCGATCAGCTCATGTGCCAGGTGGGTGACACTGTTGTACATATAAGAGCCGGGCTTCTGAGCTACCGGTGATATGACGGTAGAGTGACGGCCGCACGCGCCTGCTGCCGCTGTACCGCGTCACGGAGGACATGTTCTGCGCAGGCTACGAGGCACGAGCGCGGCGGCCGCGACGCCTGCTTAGGCGACTCGACCAGGTGGGTGACACTAATAACAGCCGGGCTACTGAGCTGCCGGTGATCTGGGCGGAGTATAGCGGACATATTTGTGCGAGGACTACGAGCGCGGTGGCCGCCTATTTGTGAGACTCAGGCGGGTCTCTTATGTGCCAAGTGGGTGAGGCAGCCGTAATAAGACAGCCGAACTTCTCTGACAAGACGTCTGACCTTAGTCGAAAACAAAATATGCAATCTAATGATGACATCTACACAATTAGATCATTTAGTATTCACTGTAGGAACATGATCATCTCCAGAGGCAAATACAAGACACAGACTAGACAGATATTCGAGAAAAATCAGGAATACCTAAAGCAGTAACATGTACTCGAAACATGTCTTGTGTCCAGCAATATAATTGAATTAGTAATACCACTGATAACATACTATGTTTTTCCTACAGGAACAGGACAGATGGTATATCTACGGCGTGACCAGCAACGGCTACGGCTGCGCGCGCGCGAACCGGCCCGGCGTCTACACCAAGGTGTCAAACTACATCGAGTGGATCGACAGCGTCATCGCCGCGCACACGCCGCAGCCGCACCATAACAACACGCAAAGCGACGAGTACGAATCCGACGACGAATTCTACGCGGACCTAGAAGCAGCCGAAAACAAAAGAGCGACGAGAATCGATACCTGCAAGGGTTATCGATGCCCGCTCGGCGAGTGCCTGCCTCCGTCGAGCGTCTGCAACGGCTTCATCGAGTGCTCGGACGGCAGCGACGAGTGGCAGTGCAGCAAACGCAACTCCTCCATACACGACCCAGATTAACGCTATTCACCACCCCTACGCTACTTATTAGCCAGTATGTAGAATTAGCGTAAATTCTTTGAATTCGACTGATATTTTGTAAGTAGACATAAGAATTGAATCTCAAGTAGGGTAAAGAAATTACTGAGAAAATCCGATTACTTTTCTACATGTTTTAATTGTTAACTTCCCACACATCGTAATGCTGGAAATTTTGCCATATCTTAAAGTAACTTTGGGCGTGTACATATAGCTTTAAATTTTGAGGCCCGAACAATTGTTTACCACTGCATGTTTATGTCTAATCCAACCTATTTATTGAAATTATATGGACGACCTTTTCCGTTTGAATACTCAGCGTTTATAAATATTTCAAATGGACAATGTTAGCCATAAAAAATATGAAATAAAAATTTAACATTTTATTTTTGTGTATAAGTTATTTGAAAACCTCTGATGTCCAATGAAAAGAAAAATTTGATACTTAAAAATTAGTTTAATCTCGACAAATAAATTAACAAAATGCAAATTCGTAATACAATATTATATTGTTCAAATAATGATGGCATAATAAAATAAATAATAATTAGAATGCTTATTTAGAGACGTCACAAACAACATAATTTACGGAATACAAATTACACTAATTCACATCATTGACTAATTAATACTTCAATTGAATTATGATATTTAAAAGAAATAAAAAAATAATGTTATTCTTAAATAATTATTTAGACATGAGGTTGCACGAAATGTTTAGTTACTCAGCGAGTACAGAAAGAGATAGGGAGAGAAGCTGTCGCATCAGGCTAAGTGATGCGAGCGTTGAGAAAGCAAAAATATTCATTTTCCGAAATCGAGACAATCACACGCCTTACATCTAACTTAACTAACTCGTACCATGTGGTACTCCAAGCTATCGCTATCATTTCTGCATAATGTCAAAAGTAAAATCTCAAAAACGTGAATGTAAGGAACATCTTTACAATACAGTATCATTAAAGGCCAGTAAATACTTGAGTTATAGTAGTTATATCTACGTCATATTAGAATTATATTTTTAACTACGATCGAGCGAAATGAGCAGGAAATAAAGACAGAACTCGAGATGACGATGAAAACGATTAATGAGAACCCGAGAACTGACTGCTTACCGTTATCGAATGATAATTTGTGCTTAACGTTAGATACTCGAGGCGAATCGCAGCAAGTGAACTAATATTGAACTAGACCGTGCAAAATATATTTTCATTATCATTAATTTAAGAGAGACTCGCCTCGTTTCGAATTTATTACTATCACAATACGCTCGCAAATTCCACGCAATCTAGCACGGACTATGTTTTCGACACAGTTGCACACGTGTTTGACGTATGCTTGAGTTATGGATATTATTAGCGTATTTTTTGCGTGGTGTTCGTGATCGTATTGCCTGCTTGAGACAAGTGCTGTCCGTCTATGTTTTGGGATAGACAGGTTTCAGAAACAAAGACGAACAGCCGGTGTCTGCGAAGCTAAAACATATTAATCTATAAGCAAAAGGTGTTCCCGGGCACGGTTCCGACTGCGAGGGAGCTTAGCCCTTGTTCTCCACGGGGGTAGTGGTGAGGCCGTTGCCCGACAGGACCGTTTTGAATTGTTCCGGGATCGGGTGCTCGTTCTGAAAACAATGTACAATTACATTTTAAGCCCGGATAACATTTCACGCAACGTTATTACTCAGTATGAAGTGTAAATATAAAAGGACCGAGATTTCCCTCGAGTTTATTCTTCGCTACCGCTTCAAATGTTATTTCCCAAATAAAGACCTGGAAATCAACTCAATGGCGGGTGCCGAAGTGAAGGAAACTAGTGCAACTAGATCAACTTCACGTTATTTTCTCAACCAGAGTCTCAATTGCCTTTCAGCAATCCTACAGAATAAACTGTTAGAAAATTCGTTTTATTTTACTTGAATCGTGTTCGTGCAAATACACCTACTAGATCAAAGTAGTGTAATTTTCTATTCAACTTGTTTAACGAGATATGTATAAATAATGCTGAAAATGGTTGTGTAAGAGGCAGTCAAAGGTGACGGAGTTTCTTACACTGTCTTCTTATTGTCTCGAAGCAGTGGCAGGGTTGAAGTAATACTGGGACGTGTAAAAGACTTTTATAAGCCTCGTTCACCATCTCCGAGTAGTGTCAAATAGGCTATTCGTTACTTAAAGTGACTAGTAGAAATTTATCGAATATCATCATCTCTGAATAACGCAAACTTCATATTTTACTTGCGTAATGCTTTTTAGTAGTGTTAATCATCAGGAAGTAACTAATTGAAACTTTACTCGGAGATCGTAAAAGAGGCCCTTAGTGTACTACAACATCATGATAGTATGTATCTATACTTCTTATTGATGACGCTTTAAAATGAATGTGAAAATGGTAATATGTGGGTGTCATGAAAAACAAACTTACGTAATCGCCGTTGCTCTGTGGCACCAGCACGTTCATCTCGGAGGACTTGGAGCTGACGATCTCCACGTTGAGGGACTCCGGCGACAGGTAGATCTGGCAGCCGTCCGTCTTGTCGACAGACACCGTGGGCACTTTGCCCAACACCTGCGGCAATCACAACCGTAATGTGTAAGTCATAAGGTTTGGAATAACTAGGTTTTATGAATATGAGTCAACCACACAAAATAGCGAAAGGGTTGTGAGTTGAGCTTATCGATTACATAATTGGTGCTAGTTGCATGTCGAACATACGTTAATTAACTACAAATCTGTTTGACGTCACAATCAATGAGGACCATTTAAAAATAATTATGCATTTTGCAGGAGTTTTGGTAAAATAAATGAATGTCAGTAATAATTCTTCATTCTATTAATTCAGTGTTTTTCAACCTGTGGGTCGCGACCCCCCAGGGGATCGTGTAGCCTCTATATATGGGGGGGTCGCGAGAGGTCGTAAAAACTACCTCAGTAAAAAACAGTAGAGTTCTAAATATAGATTTATCTGAAATCTAATTATGCAAATGCATAACTGTTATATGGATTGGAAAATTCGGTCACTAGGTATAACATTTTTTTTTTGCCTTAAAAATTCATGAAAAAAGAAAGTGAACGGTCGGGGGGTCGCAAAATATTTTTTCATACTAGGGGGGTCGCGTCATGAAAAAGGTTGAAAAACACTGTATTAATTAATGTTGGCAAACAGCGATCGCAATGTGTCCTACGGCGAATCAAATCATCTGAAAATACCCAAAATGTACAGTCCGTAGTTGCAATGTATTGCGCACTGCGAAGATAACTTTCGATCTATCTTATTACGTAAGTGGAAACAAACATACAAAGATACACTACCCCTTCTACCCAAATCTCTACCCTACTTTGGCACAGGCACAAAATTCGGAAGATACATAGTTTTGGAATTGGGTGCGTGATGAATGAAATACATTTGTTTGGTGCAATGTCGTCTGCCTGGTGAACTCGAATAACAAAAGGTGGAATAAAACTATTTCATGAACATGCTATTTCAAAAACATAGTACCTAAGCAATAAAAAATAATTTTGTTTTATAATTTTTATTTATTATTTAGTCCAAACATCCTGAGACTACTTACAACATAGTTATTATATAGGGTTATATAGGGTTCATCCACTGTCTAAGTAGCTCAGTTGGAAGAGCAGTCGCCCGGCAAGCGGAAGGTCGTGGGTTCAATTCCCGCCTTAGGCAGTTCGATTTTTTCAAGTTATAAATTTTCATACTTACAACATAGTTATTTATATACTTATAAAGTTTCTATGTTTTCGAGAATATAACGCGTTCATATCCATAAGTATGCACATAGCTTTATTCTTTGTGAGACGTTGATAGCAAAGAGTACAATTATTCTTTAAAAAAAGTAAAAACCATAATCGAAGAACTTTCAAAATTATAGAACGTCATGTCCGATGTCAGTGCCATAGTTTTGAAGATTTTCCAAAATTTTATTTACAACACCTTCAGATGTGTTGTCCGTATTGGTTTTTTTGCTAGTATATATATTTTTAGATGTTTGCGTTCGTAGTTATATTGGCGACTGTCATAATCGCGTTCCGCATGTGGAACATGATGGACCACGGCGAGAACGACAAAGGCACCAAGGTCCTGACCAACGGGAGCGAGGGTACCTTCGTCCACTTCTGGCATTACTTTATTGACCAATATGGACTACCGTTCGGGCATATTTGCATTAGTTTTTTGTATGCTGTCTACACAAGATTCACTTTGTTCAACGTGGTTTGTTACGTTTTAATTAATTTTACGTAGCTGTTAAAATTAAAACACAGTAAGGTTCCAAAGGTATCACATGAATGAGATGTAGCTGTATAATCTGTAAAGGTCAAATGTGAACACCCCTTTTCTACCCAACAACTTTAATGAGAAACCGCCTTTCCAGTTTGGTAAACAGCCTTACGCAGAGGCAAACAACAAAGTTAATGTAATGAATGTTGTCCGTTTCTGTTTATTTCATTCCATCTACCGACTTGATGTTCTGGCGTTTTATTATAAATCCCGAAGACGTAAAGTATTAGTTACCCTCAAAGGTATGAATTAAATTACGTCGTGATGCCTTGAATTTAATATCTGTAATTTATTTCAACCAAGAGCTATTACTAAACGTACTCGAGTCAAATAAAGCTCAATAAGATGGAAGCCAGCATTAATAAGATTCTAAGTGCGTATTTATGTAAATTTCCAGACAATATTCTTCCTGAAGTACGTTCCTACTGGGATGTATATGTATAAGTTCTTGAAGAACATTTACATAACGTCACGGGAGAGAATAAAACAGAAGCAAATAGAGCTGGAGGACATACAACTTCAGGTAACCTTACTAGTTCATAAAAAGATATGAACCGTTTAAACCGTTTTGTGGGCGACCCATATAAAATTTACGCATATTTTGATGCAGAGAAATTAATTGATTAATTTATTCAAATAACTGTATTCAAACATTATTATTGCCTATTTTCGTTCATAATTATACTACACATAGAAATTCAGTCATGTATAAACCATCACCAAGTCTGTTAATTTCTGTAATTAATTATGTATCACAATACATTCTCCGTCTGCATGTCACTGAATACGAATATCGTAATTGTGACAAGGATATTAAGTCGAGCCAGCCAGCGTTCATCTATTACTCGTAAAAAGTAATATAATTAGGTTTATATTTTTACTTGTAGAGTTGTGTTCATTCAGAACACTGACAAAAACCGCACAAAGGTAAATAGTGTAGAACTAACTATCTTCAGCATCTTCTAATTATTCCATTCAGCAGATTCGTACCGTACAATGATAACGGTGTAAGATACGTCCTTTACAAAGCCTATTGTCTTACAATGGTTCTGCAAAATCTTCATGAAAAGGATCGTGCGATGTGAATTTAGAGTTGAGAATCGCTTGTTGGTGTTGTGCAGTATGCCAAGTATTCGCAAGTGGTCCGAATGTGTGCGTTTCCAGATTCAAATAGTGAACACGAAGTTATGCGTGCGTGACGCGGAGTTCACGGAGCGCGCGGACCAGCTACGGCGTGACGTAGAGCGGCTGAGGAGAGTGCGGGAACGCGTGAGGAATATCATCGCGGCCGATGAAGCACTACGGCGAGCCTTGGACGGTGCAGCCCTATGGGATGGGGACCAGGATACCAGCGTGCACACCACGCCCGAACAAGGTTTATGCACTTTTGCATTGAATTAGTCTATGCCTAGGGCCAATGAAGTTGCGATGCGAATGCGACTATTTGTGAGACAAACGCAAACTGCACATGACACCCAAACGAGGTATAAGTAAGTGTCAAGAGAGTGCAGGGATCAGGATTCATGTGTTCTCATACGGTATCGCATATTGAAAGTCAAATATCGCAATAAAGAGAGTATTACGCGTCGATAAAAGCCGACAGGTTATTATTTTCGTAATCGGTATGTTATTATGGCGACCATAGCAATTTCGCATACTAAATTTGATTGCGGTATCGAAATTGATCAGTATTTTCTCAGCACAACAAAATGGTGAAACAATGACGGCTATTTCGAATAAAATACAACTGCGTAGGTGTTCGAAATACGATGGTAATAATGTGAGTAACATTTTTCAGATCGGGAATTCATCGTGGAATTGCTGAAGGGTTTGAAGTACGAAAATATGGGGATGCCTGAGCGTCAATCTGAGAAGATGGAATGTGGGGAGCATGCTCAGACGGAGCCCCATACCCCAGAGACTAGCGTATATTCCTCGTTGAGCGATATGGACATCAAGCAAGACTGCCGCGTCAAGATCGTCAAGGTCACCAACGTGTACAAAGTCGCCTATCTCAAGCACTTTATCAAACAAAAGCGACTACGACGTGCCCATAAACATGCGCTTTTGAAGAAAAGGGTAAGAAATACTATTTTCTCCTCATTTCTTTCGCTATCGCAACATAAAACTGAACGAGGTGGCCAATCTCAAACGGTCGATTCGAACCAATTGCTTTACTCTACTATCAGGTAGACGAGACTTGTCGAGATACTGCAAACACTCAAACGCCAAAGGTATCCAAGGGAGCTTTGGACAGGAAATTTNGCTGAGGAGAGTGCGGGAACGCGTGAGGAATATCATCGCGGCCGATGAAGCCCTACGGCGAGCCTTGGACGGTGCAGCCCTATGGGATGGGGACCAGGATACCAGCGTGCACACCACGCCCGAACAAGGTTTATGCACTTTTGTATTGAATCTAGGGCCTTCATTAAGTTACGATGAGGTGTAGCGCGAATGCGACTATTTGTGAGACACGCAAATCTGCACATGACACCCAAACAAGGTAAGTGCCAAGAGAGTGCAGGGATCAGGATTCATGTATTCACGTACGGTATCGCATATTGCAAGTCAAATATAGTAATAAAGAGAGCCGAAAGTATCACGCGTCGATAAGCCGATAGGTTATTATTTTCGTAATCGGTATGTTATTATGGCGACCATAACAATTTCGCATACTAAACTATATCCAAAAAATAATAACCAATAGGCAGGCGATCATCTTCTGTTATCACGATCTGGTTTTCACAGCATTTTCAGAGAAAAATATAGCACAATCGAAAGTTTCGACAAACGTTGAATCTGTAGTTTCCGCAAAAACCCAGGATTTGGTCCCTAGAGATTTGTACGATATAAAACATATATTATTTGAAATTGATCAAATTTTCTCAATACAACCAAATGGTGAAACAATGACGGCCATTTCGAATAAAATACATGATCTTAGGTGTTTGAAATACGATTAGTCCAGTCAATGAATGCCTTAACGACGGTGTAGAGAGAAATCCGTGGAACACAATTTCTGACCTCGGGACTTTATTTAGCCTAGTTAGGTGGTGAACATAGCAAAAATCCCCGCCCTTAGCCCTTAAGCCGGCAGGGAGAGGGGGGTTTAAAGGTACCACTTTTCGGTTTTTCGCTTAATCCTCGGAAACTATGCGTCCTAGTGACATGACTACTATGAACCAAAAAAACCTTATTCAATTNGGAAATTTTAAATTGCATGGCAAACATTTTCTGAAAGAAGCGCCTTTTAAATTGAATTACTTAACAACTTATCAACCAGCCTTAATTATACAAGGGGCGTTTGAGTTTAAATAAGTCACATAATTTCAAAAGAAGTTTATTAATATTAGAGTGCGGATTTCAGATGGAAAGCATCAAAAAGCTGTTAGAAGACTGGCAGAAATCGTTGAACATGGTGATAAACAACAAGCTGACGATCTTGAACATGGATTCGCGGATCGACGTTGCGTCTCAAGAGGCGATGGGCGATTATTCTAAGCCTACGCTTCGGGAATCCTCCGACTCAGACTCTGACCTTCGGAATAGTGGCACCGACATATCCTACGACGAGTACAGTCTCAGCTGGACGCAAAACCCTTACAGAAGTTACTGTTACAATTATGAGGTTAGTCACAAAAATCAACCCTACTACTTAGTGCACAAGCGTGTCCGGAAAATGAGGGCGGGGAATTAATATCCCGGGAGCCAGATAATGACTTTATAGCGTGACCAATTTTTAAAATATTCCTACGGAAACGGAACCTTTTAAATAATGAGTAATAAGATTAATAAGTTTTAATTAACGCAAGTTGGCATGATAATTCAATAAAATTTAATATCGTTTTTCAGCCCCAATGCGTACACTTAATTGAATTGGTTTGCCGAATACGTTCGTACATCTCTCCGCTATTGCCATTTATTTCTGTCCACCACATTCGCTGATTCACCGGTACTCGCACCGGTCTAACTTGTTTTTCCCGTTGTCATCTGATAACTGGCATGGTCATTACTGATATTAGCCTACATTTTGCGAGTTAACACCGTTTGATTTCGCGTAAATTTGTTTCATTAGCAGGAGATTCCTGACCCGGGCATGACTCGCGAGTACGGCGAGCCGCAGGACTTCGGCGAGATGAAGTATCCCCTGCATCCATGCGAATGCCCTGAGCCTAGGAAGCTGTGTGTTCTGCCCGAGGAGACCACCAGCCAGGTGGCCATCGAGGAGATCAAGAGCGACGACGACTACGCGTGCCAAGACCGCGTCGTAGCGTAACGCTATTTTATTTGTTACCGCTTTATAAACTCTGATCGATTTCACATTTTGTTTCAAATTCAATACGCTTCGTCTTACAATAATTACTCTAACGTTACAAAATTGTTTTTACAATGTCGGAATTGACTTCCAATTACGGAACAAAGTGATCAATCCAAATCATATTTAATTTTCAATAACGCGTACGCAACTATTCGTTAGTTTTTTTAAATTTCAATTAATTGATTACAGTAAAAAGATATTTCTACCGAAACAAATATACTAGGTACGCTGACCTATTTTTTGAGTCGGCTGCCAATGAGGCAGTGCTCTAGTTCATACGGTGCAATTTTAACGTAACTAAAATTCTGGAATGAGGAAATATTACGAGGACATTGTACAATAATATAGTAGGTAAAATAATACGGACACATCGTTGGTAGGTAATGATTATAAATAATGCAACGGTAATCACATAGTTACTGTGGTCGATCGATAAAGCACATCCAACTTCGCAGTCCTATTTGCATTTGCATGAACCATATTGAATGAATAGACTACGTAAGTCTAATGCAGTTCATAGTCGCATGGCATTTATACAGGGTGTTAGGTAAATGGGTATATGAGCCGACACTAGCCCATGTTAACATAGTCATATAAATGGTATGGTGAAGTCAGAAATTTGATATCATCATTTTATTTTTTTTAATTTTCATACAAAATAAATTTTATAAATTCCGATTTGTATGAAAATTTAAATAATTGAAATGAAGATATACATTTTCTGACTTCACCATATCATTTATATGACCATGTTAACATGGGCTAGTGTCGGCTCATATACCCATTTACCTAACACACTGTATAAAAGCAGTTTGCAAACTCAAAGCTGCCAAAACTATCAAAAGCGAGCATTTGGAAGTCTCTAGCGAAGATATACATGAGAAATGTGCGAAGTACTTACGAACAGTTCAATACTCCTATTTGCTCCGTACAAGAGGAATCGAATTATTTATGAGACGTATGTGTCGCTCTTCGCTCATGAATTCATGACGGATAAAAGCATCCATCGTTATAATTGCCTAAAACCCGAGTGATCGATTAATTTAGAAGTGTACGAGCTTGGCATAGCATTATTACTGCTACAAAATAAGAGGGAAGAGTTTTAAACCTCCGCTCCGCCTTTTATATGAAAATGTTAAAATATTTTTCACCGGCGTCGGCTTATTTCATTACCTCCTACCGGACAGACGGGATAATACAGAAGATATTTTAACCTCTTTTGCGTCCTAACGAAACTCCATACCAGGGATGATTAAGGTAGCTTGATTAAAGATGTAAGTACCTAGTCTTTCATGATGGAAAAAACTATTCTAAATAAAGCTAGACATGTTTATTTAAAAAAAAAAGATTTGAATTTATATTAACATCAGATTGGTGTGTTGGATCCCTAAGATATTCTGGTCAAGCTCACATATCATAGACACATCAGAACAGAACCTGAATTGTAAAAATAGCGACACCGATGATATTTCTGCGCTACGTCAGCGCCGAGTCGCGGCAGCGGAACAAGTTTACCACTAGGGTTTCTGATTTCTCGACTTATTTTTTTTCTCGAGTTTCGGGAATTCTCGAGGCCAAAGTCTCGAGTTTTCTCGGGTCTCGAGTCTTTTAATTAAAACTGTTGAAATCGGTTGAAATTTAATAAAAACGCGGGTTTTTATTAATGTTATAATGTGTCTGGGTTATAATCAATAATACTGTAAAGTTTCAACAAAATCCGTTCAGTAGTTTTTGAGTGAAAGAGTAACAAACATCACATCCACACAAACTTTCGCATTTATAATATTAGTAGGATAATTATAACTTAGTAATTAACTGAAGGAACAAAAGTCATAAAGTCGCGTGTACTTTAAGGATTAATAACCATAAATATCTGGAGCTCCAATTGAATCACTTGTTTTCCAAAGAACACAAGTCCATAATTGAAAAATTACGATAATAAACCTACATTTACAAACAAAAAAAGACTTTTAAATAAATTTTTAAACTTAAAGATAACGACTTGAATAAACGTATTTACGAGTACCTAAACTAACAGATAATTAACAAAAAATTTTCAGTCTTTAAATCAGTCAGTTATACAAACATAATAAAATATAGCATACTCGTAGGTGAAAATTATTAGTTTCGGTTAAGATCATTACTTGCAAATCAAATTAGTTAAAAAAAGGAAAGACTAGGCCAGTCTAAACGCAACGTTAACCTATTAAATAATTAAAAACTTACTTTTGTCTAAGAAAAAAGGCTTTCAAGAATATTAAAGCTTCAAAATCGAAACTCGAGAATTCTCGAGCTCCGGTAATTTTTTTCTCTTCTCGAATGAAGCCAAATTTCTCGAGTTTTCTCGAGTTCGAGAAAGCTCGAGCAGAAACCCTANGCTATAATGTAGGGGGCGCTGTTTAATTTTTCATACAAAATTTTTCGATGACACTTTGAATACGCAACGAAACGAACTCGAAAGTTTTTCCTACTAGAGGTACAGAACCTAAATTGTCGCGGCAGCGGAACATGTGTACCACGTTGTTCCAATGACAAATACACACCACTAATAGTACAAACCACTGACCTGCATCTGCACAGACTGGCAGTTAACGAACTCGATGCTGGAGACCAGGTTGTCGAACACCACCGCGCACTTGGTGCACGAGTCCAGGACCACGCCGTTGATCTTGCCGCGCACCGTCAGCGCCGAGTCGCGGCAGCGGAACATGTATACCACATNTTTACCACGTTGTTCCAATAACAAATACACATCACTAATACACATAACTAACTGACCTGCATCTGCACAGACTGGCAGTTAACGAACTCGATGCTGGAGACCAGGTTGTCGAACACCACCGCGCACTTGGTGCACGAGTCCAAGACCACGCCGTTGATCTTGCCGCGCACCGTCAGCGCCGAGTCGCGGCAACGGAACATGTATACCACATTGTTCATATCGGCGTTCTCGACCACCAGGTTGGGGTTGCCTTTCTGGTATTCCTGTGCGAGAGACAACCTTATTAGTAATCGCATTGTGGGACATTCAAAAATAAATGGGAATACGCGAATATAAAAATAATAAAAACTATATCAAAATGAAAGAATTAAAGATAAGTTCTGTATTAGAGTAAGGCAAAGAGCTGAAGATGCTGCATGCTGCATTTTCTCACTGCTAATACGCAAATCGGAATGCAACAGCCGCTCAGTAGACCGTAAACGTTTAAAAAAATTGATAATATAATCTTTTTACGACAAACTGGCAGTATAATACGAAAATATGCATCCTGATGTGGCAATTTCGAACTCTCAGCATGATACTCAGAAATTTGAAACCGAGTAAAGGGCTTACCCTTCATATCTATCAAAGACCGCACCTAAGATAGTCTACGTAATTAAACTAGCTTCACATCATAAATTAACATAGTTACGCATTACACAGTCTGCTACATAATACAAGAGTCGCATTAGAGTATACGCTCTCAGTTTCAATTATAAAATCTACTCAGTGTTTCAGAAAAGCAGCAGGAAATTAATGTTTAATGAAAAATTGTTATCCCAGACGCTGCAAAGTTTAACAAGAAATGTTTCTTTCATCAAACCCGTTTAGTTGTTATTCTGATCCGCATGATTGAGTAATCCTAACAACCTTTCGTTAACAAACTTTTAGAATACTGTGTAATAATACATTTTCGTGGGTCTATAAAATTTGTTCAATTCGGACTACAAAGGATTTAGAAAATGGTTTATTCCGAGCTGTTACCTTTTCAAAGGATATTTAAGCACCTTGCTCAGCAAAAAATACAAAGTTGTCGTCACTGGACCGAAAGATTTCAGTGAGTAAGGAGGGTATTACCGGAGGGACAAATGAAACAAGGATTAATCCGGCAAGATTAATTTAGGTCGAGCAGTAACTAAGCCCCTGTCGGTTATTAAATTTCGGAACAAATCGATAACAACTTTGTCAAAATTGTTATCGATAGATATGGAGTGTATGTCTTTACTTTGGATAATGTTACCAGGCTAGTAAACAAGGTGTATAACATATAACACTCTGCCACGGTAATACTATCTATACAGTATTCCAACTCGACCATATTTTTGAAATAAATGTCAACAGCCGCGCGGAACGTCACGGTATGACAACATGCGATAGGGCTGCCCACCTACAGACCCTATTTTCATTACATCTGCCTACTAAGAATTTTTATCTAGTTTTGTGAATGTAATTTTTTATTTTATTTTGACAAACAAAATACATTGTGAATGAAATAGGATAAAAATGCACGTTGTTTTGTGATTAGTAGATTTAATTAAAAAAATATATTGTGTTAAGATTTAGTAACAAATCTTATAAATTTGCGACCGTAAAATGTATGCGCCTCGACTGAAGCGTACAAAATGCTTGATTATTATACAGGGTGTTAGGTAAATGGGTTTACAAGCCGACACTAGCCCATGTTAACATGTGCATATAAATGGTATGGTGATGTCAGAAAAATTATATCATCATTTTAATAATTTTAATTTTCATAACAATCTGATTTTATAAATTTTATTTTGCATGAAAATTCAAAAAATAAAATGATGATATCACTGAATTCATCATACCATTTAATGTTAACATGGGCTAGTGTCGGCTTATAAAACCCATTTACCTAACACCCTGTATAAATAGGTACTTGTAATTATTTTTATAAAAAAAGGGCGCTTACTATTTAAAAAACAACACATCTTCCGTTTATTACTGTGGCACATTCGCGACACCCCCGACTTTTGCATGTCGAGCGCATACCGAGATTTGAATTTCGAAGGAAAGCTCGCGTTTCGTCCGTTTATAAGAAGTTACAATACTGTATGATAGTATTACCGTGACTCTGCTCACACTCTACCAGATTGTTTAAAAATATATTTTTTCATGAATTCTCTTACCAGAATTAACGAAGTTTTTCACACTGTGCTCGCTAAAACCGCTCATTTATATGGGACTTTAACCAGGGCCGCCGCCTTGAAGGGCGCCGGGCCCCGCGGAGCTACGGTAGTGACACTAGTGACGTATACTCACGATGAGCCACTTCTTGCCGTCGCGCGTGAACACGGGCGGCTTGTCGGGCAGCGTGCCGGCGCCGGGCTGTGGGATGGGCTTGCCGGGCGCCGAGCGGGGCGCCGCCTTCAAGGGCACCGGGCCCCGCGGAGCTACGGTAGTCACACTAGTCACGTATACTCACGATGAGCCACTTCTTGCCGTCGCGCGTGAACACGGGCGGCTTGTCGGGCAGCGTGCCGGCGCCGGGCTGCGGGATGGGCTTGCTGGGCGCCGCCTTGAAGGGCGCCGGGCCCCGCGGAGCTACGGTAGTGACACTAGTGACGTATACTCACGATGAGCCACTTCTTGCCGTCGCGCGTGAACACGGGCGGCTTGTCGGGCAGCGTGCCGGCGCCGGGCTGCGGGATGGGCTTGCCGGGCGCCGAGCGGGGCGCCGCCTTGAAGGGCGCCGGGCCCCGCGGAGCTACGGTAGTGACACTAGTGACGTATACTCACGATGAGCCACTTCTTGCCGTCGCGCGTGAACACGGGCGGCTTGTCGGGCAGCGTGCCGGCGCCGGGCTGCGGGATGGGCTTGCCGGGCGCCGAGCGGGGCGCCGCCTTGAAGGGCGCCGGGCCCCGCGGAGCTACGGTAGTGACACTAGTGACGTATACTCACGATGAGCCACTTCTTGCCGTCGCGCGTGAACACGGGCGGCTTGTCGGGCAGCGTGCCGGCGCCGGGCTGCGGGATGGGCTTGCCGGGCGCCGAGCGGGGCGCCGCCTTGAAGGGCGCCGGGCCCCGCGGAGCTACGGTAGTGACACTAGTGACGTATACTCACGATGAGCCACTTCTTGCCGTCGCGCGTGAACACGGGCGGCTTGTCGGGCAGCGTGCCGGCGCCGGGCTGCGGGATGGGCTTGCCGGGCGCCGAGCGGGGCGCCGCCTTGAAGGGCGCCGGGCCCCGGGGAGCTACGGTAGTGACACTAGTGACGTATACTCACGATGAGCCACTTCTTGCCGTCGCGCGTGAACACGGGCGGCTTGTCGGGCAGCGTGCCGGCGCCGGGCTGCGGGATGGGCTTGCCGGGCGCCGAGCGGGGCGCCGCCTTGAAGGGCGCCGGGCCCTGGCGCAGTTGCGGGTTCTTATGGGTCTGCATGTCGGCAGTCACTTTACGCAGGCCTAGGGAAAACATTTGCTGGTCAAAATTTGCGGTACTCGGCAGGATGATGCGACTTTAACGAATACATTCTGTATTTTGTTTAAATACTAGTTATAGGGCGTAAGTCTTGTGATTTTAGAGTTAGGAAAATCTTGTATTATTAGTCTTAGGCAGACAAAAATTACACCATCGTAATAAAATTAATAATGTATTTAACAGGATAACAAAATGTTCATGACCAATACTAATAAACATAAATACAAAAGTCGAAACAATTTGCCCAAATTAACAAAGTGAAGGAACAATTTAGTAGACGTATTAATCACGTACGTCACGTGGCTCGTGACGTGACGCGTGAGGACGCAACTACTTAGGGGTAACAGCTAAAATATATCTAAAGGAAATAAAGTAACATAATGTATCACTGTTAGGCGTGCCTAATTATACGGGAATAAATTACTCACACGCCAAGTAACGAATTGGCAATAGAAGCTGTCTAATGGACCAGAAAATGTTAAGCATATGACTCAAGTAACTAAAGTTAGCACGTCGAATCACTATATACGTCGGAGAAATTAGTCATTAACTGTGTGCACAATCGGCACATTTACCTTATCTAACATGTCGGGCTTAAATGGCCAAATCTCAGGAGGATGTTTTCCTTGTTCTGTGAATTTGTGGAACAGACGACTTGCGAAAGGTCAAAGGAATATACATAATGACGTGCTAATTAGATACAAATTAGCGACAGTACAGCGTATGTTCTGGCACAGAATGTTTGTCTAAAATACCGTTTCCAATTTTATTGCTTCCTGTGATTGTCAGAGTTAATTTGTACGCGACTAATCCTATTACTCGATGTCACCACTGCCACTTCTGTATAGCCAGGATCTACAGTTCGACCGTCAATAAGAGCCAACCAGTGAGGTTAATTAACCCCAGTAGATAACCGCAACGACACCGATTTCATCAAAGGAATTTTAGGACAAGCTATATTCCGGACTTGTATATGTGCCTTGAAAGGAGCCTATTCATACTGATAGACAATTTGAATACAGGAGGAGGTCGAAGTTCGGTACAGGAATCATACTAAGGCCTGAATTGACCAAACTTTTATCCGAACTGCTGGTATAACTGGCACATTGACAGTTCCAGCATGGGAAATATGTCAAAATGTCGAATAACTGACGATTTATTCTGAGATTAATATTTACTCTTGTTTAGTCGAATCCCCTAATACGTGTGATTTTGCAACAAAGTATAATCTGACAGCCAGCTCACTAGTGAGCGCGTTTAAAAATTGTATGAAAATTTTAGTTTTTGAATGTTTCCCGCTAGGGGCGCTGTACAATCCGTCATACATTTAATGTAATTTTTTGACGCGCTCACTAGTGAGCACGTTTGATGTAAACTCACACTAGGCCCTCTGATAAATCTATAAAGGGTCAAATACTTACTGCTAGTGATGTTCTCGCCCTGGTTGATCTCGGCGAAGAGCGCGCTGCGGTCATCCACGGTCATGTTGGAGAAGTCAGCCTCGGGCAGCACGGGCGGCGGAGGGGGCATGCCGCCGGGCGGGGGCGGCGGGGGCGCCCCACCTTTGCCTGAGTTACACAAACAAACCGAATAAAGGCCGATTCACACATATCAAAATCAAAATCAAAATCAAAATCAAAAAATATTTATTCAGTTTAGACCACAAGTGGCACTTATGAACGTCAATAGAAAATAATAAAAAAAGAAAAAGGTAGCCCTTATGGGGCACTTTACATGTCTCCTTATCTTTTGGGCCCTACCAGCGCAGCGACTATTAAATCCGTGCTGCCCTATGGGTGTGAAACGTGGAAGGTCACCAAGGTCATCTCGCACCAGCTGCAGGCCTTCGTCAACCGCTGCCTTCGCCGAATTCTCGGCATATACTGGCCTGAGAAAATCTCCAACGTCGAGCTATTGAAACGCTGCCACGAAATTCCGATCGACCAGCAGATCAAGCGCCGCAAGTGGAACTGGAATGGCCACACTCTCCGAAGGGATCCCGATCACATCCCCAAGCAGGCTCTGGATTGGAACCCCCAAGGAAAACGCAAACGTGGTCGCCCCAAGCAAACTTGGCGGCGCACTGTGGCAGACGAGGCGAAGAAGATCGGCAAGACTTGGAGCGAGATCAAACACATAGCTCAAGACCGAACGCGATGGAGGACTGTTGTGGACGCCCTCTGCCCCATCTAGGGGACATAGGACCATAAGTCAAGTAAGTCAAGTCACACATATCAGTGAAGTCACAGTTCAGGCTCAGTACCGGCACAGTGCGAAATATTCTTTCGTACAGTTTCTATGAACGCATCCCCACTTGTCAGTGTCAGTGACGACACAGTGCTCTCAGTGTCAGTGCCGACACCGGCAATCACGGACGTATTCGTTGTTCGTTCGTTCGTTCGTTTCAGCCGAAAGACGTCCACGTATTCGTTGACGACGATATTTTTTGTTGGATCACGGACGCCGCCGCGGCATCAAAAACAAAATAAGTTACTTCATAGTTTCTGAACAAGAATATTGAAACAGCTCTCTGACATTTTGACGCGATGGAGGACTGTTGTGGACGCCCTCTGCCCCATCTAGGGGACATAGGACCATAAGTCAGGTAAGTCAGTCTCTGACATTTTAAAATGTTCAAAATATTTCACTGCCGCAACACTGTAGCACTGATACTGAACTTAGCGGATACTGTGACGGAACTGTGGCTTCACTGATATGTGTGAATCGAGCTTTAATGCCCACCACTGAAAACTTTAAACAAGGAACGGGTATGAACGGGCATTGTTAAGCACTGATTCCAAATTTGGATCTAATTAAAAACTTGGGTAACAGCTAATTCCTTAATCAGACGGTTCAAACGATAAAGTTAGTACTATAGTCGATGTTGTAGATGTACTATTAATCGGGTAAACAACGAAGTTAGTACTGTAGTTGAAGTTGTGAATGTACTAATCGAGGGGATTAACAATATCATGACAGTTTGCCAAGTAATTTAACTAAAGTTAGATTAAGCCGTTTTCAATCAAATAGTCAGTCGTGAAATAGAAACCACATTTAATCTCGACTTATCTGAATTCGGATGAAATCCATGCCGAATGAAATGAAGCGAAATTTATTAGAGTGTCAAAGTCCTTTTACTGTTCTCTCGACAAGGTCGAAGTCTGCGTTTGAATTATAAAACTCCTATTACATTATATCTGATAGCAATTTGTGGTGGTTTCTAAAAAGAATAATAAATCAAGCAAACGAATCTCGGCTCCAATAGAGCCATTTAATTTAACCAGAGCGCTAAACCGGCACTTTGGAATGTTCCACGGAATAAAATATTTACGAGTTAATTTTCCGTAATGTATACTCCCCCGGCTTGACACGTTGTCAAATTAGAAGGAGCGTGTTGAAGTTGAGCTGACTTATTTAACTTGTTTTTGTGTTGTGTCGACGTTTTAAAAGCTGGAATAAAGTTTGTAGCGCGTACAAATTACGCGGGTGATGTATTATTCAGTTTAGTTCAAGTTTTATGGATGCAATCCAATGCAATATTAATGAAATGGAAAGCTTACCAGACCATACGAGTCCGGTGGTGTGGTACTGTTTGACGTAGGCCTGGAGATCGGACAGCAGCTGCACCCAGGTGCGGCACCACTCCACGTGCCTCTTGTCCTTCTCTTTCCACTCCTTCAGCACGCGGTTGGTGTAGAACTGGCCGGCATCGTTCATCTCTTTCACGTAGGGCGCGGGGGTGGGCGCTATCGCCACCCACCCGAGCGCCGGAATGCTCTCAGATATAGCGGAGAGATGGTTGAAAAACTGGGACGCGCGGTTTTTCTCGCGGAATTGTTGGATAGCAGAGATCTGATCGCTCGTCGGAGCTAGCAGCTGCATCTCTTCGGCCTGCGACGGCTTGCCCCTAGAGGCTGCCTGCTGGATGTAACGTAACTGTGCCCTGTTAGAAAAATTTAAGTTGTGATTTGCATTCGATGTTGTATGCACGTTTCTTTTTATTTCGTAGGTTACTATCAAAACTAAATGTTAGTTTCTTTGACTTACTGGAAGGCAGAGTTGACCAAGTTGGCGTGCGTGGCAACATCCCCGCCGATCTGCTGGGACAACTCGATGTACGTGCGGAGTGGCCCCTGCATAATAAACGAACTTGATAATGGAGGTCGACCTTAGTTTACATGTACTCTACCAAAACCATCTGATAAGTCGATCTTTCTACAAAATTATTCAGTGGATTCTAGATCAACTGAAAATACCTAAAAATGTTTCACTTAATTACAGTACATAAATAACCAGCTTTAATGGCCTTATTTATAAGCGTGCCGTAAATTGTAACTTGATGCCTTTACGAGCTTCTGAGTAAAAGGGTCTTCTCAAACAGACAACGAAATGTGCTTATAAGTATTCCTTTTTCTTATTGGGGTACGAAACTTAAAAACAATTTTATTTTACTCAAAAAACAAGTTTTAAGTAAAGTTTTTATTAACATCAACTTTATTTTTTAAGCACCTGTTAAGCGTAGTTCCGACATTAAACTATGCTTGAAAGCATGAATAATAAAAAGGTTTCGCTTTGATAAAAACGCTGTATGCATTTAAAATAATTATGAACCTCTGCTTCCTTTGTAAAAATATTTTACAAATATTATTTTTAAATATTGCAATATGTTAGGTGAGAAGATGGAAATATTTAGCAGTGATTGATGTGATGTGAGTGTTGACATCGGAACATATATTCGCGTCATTCGCGTTGGAACTCGAAGTATTAAGATGCCCATCCTGTTTATCAGATCGGGCTCGGCTGATACAACACGTACCCTTACTAAGGCGTAAATACTGGCAACCTAAAAGAGATTTAGTAGTAACCGATACAAGAATTTGCATTTAGAGTATACCTTTAACATAGTTTACGTTTTTATTCGTAGAACAATGGAACTGACTCTCCATTTCTAAGATTTGTGAATTATGAATTCTGCAAAAGAGGTAACAAAGGCGAGGGGTCACAAAAGATTTGAAGAAAGCTTTAGCATTTGGTATTCATTCGTTGATGAAGTTAATTCTCAAAATAATTCATTCTCATCCTACTGAATGGGGCTTGTAATTAAACGCCAACTTCGTTAAATTAGATCTGTTCCCAAAGGAATTTCAAATATTAACGCGGTTGCTAAATTTGTAATATCAGTCCCTGAATGGTAGTTAGATCACAATCGTGTCAAAATTGGATAGTTCATTCATGTCCCGATTAAAAATTGACTGTTAGTAACGTTAACATTTTAAGTTGACGTTAAATAATATTAAAATGCTAAAGTAGCATAGTGGCAAGGCAAACACACATTGTGAGTGCAAAAAACGAAAGCGGCACCAAAAATTAAAGAGCAATCACCCCTTGAAAGTATTCATACGAAAGGTCACTACTATCATAAAAAGTATTCCGTAAGGACGAATATCTTTTCAATTACGATAAAGTCACATTATGTAGGAGATATCACTTAACGTAGGACCCATTCTACTCAAAATATAAATGGATGTCACATAAATCATATGCTCAAGCAAATATAATATTAGCTAAAAGCTTGTTACATATACTCGTAGCTTCGTAGACAGCTTACACGAGCATACAATTGGGCTTAGGAAAACTAATAAACTTCCTCGTATACAAAGCTAATAGGGATAAACTTATGTGGAAACCAGACCTACCACCTATTAAAGCTAATTGCTATTTGATCAATGTTTGTTTACAATTTGTTTAGGTTATTCGCCACTTCAGATTGCTACAATTTAATACGTTACACAAGAAAAATATTTACAAAATCCAAACGTTCTGTAGCGACACCATTTAATATTCAGGTCAGGGTTGATAAAACTCGAACCCACATTTCCTCGGACTCCCCGGGTCCATTGAAAGTAGGCGCTCTTACAAACAAATATAGACGTGTGCACCGAATGTGTTGAATGGTCGCAACGAACTCGTTGCGAAAGGAGATGGGACTATTATCTGTTCTTCCTGATTGCCGCGTCGGCCTGCTGCCACTAATTAAAGCTAAGTGATTCCACGGGCATCGCTTTGTTGGCTCACAAAAGAAGTATTTTCCCGGTAAATTACGAGAATCGGCAGAATTCATAATTCTTTCATAGTCCATTATCCCAAATTCTTCGTCTATGTAAATGTAGAGTTACGCCACGTCGCGTTCAGTTTAATTTTAGATTGTTACTCAGCGTATATTATCGCCCATTGTACTTAAACGGAAATTAAGTGAATATCCTTATTTATGCATTAGCTAGTACATTTTATTTTAAACAGTTAATATCTGGTACCAATATGGGATGAAATGTCAACAAAATTAATACGAAATTAACTTGTAAAGTATACCTTGACTTACTTCAACCTTCACCTATAACAAATATTCACGAAACACGACCCTGCCTTTCGTTGACTCATACAAATACTATGATTCATGCAACCACCAAGTTATGTAAAAAATAAGTGACCGTTTATATAAATTATATTGGTGATTAATATCAAACACAGATACTCAAAATGTTGTTGTATGTTTCCGTACAACCTTAACTTTGCAAACCATTCTTGTTCTGTCTGGATGAAGCAGATCAAATGCATAGCCAGCATTAGTATTCAACATTTCAAGACACTGATTGCCATTAACAAATCTTCGTCAGCCAGGTAGTAGTAGCCTAGTCTCCTAACAAACGCTGTCATACGCCACATGACAAATACAAAAGACATCTCACAAGTACCTGCACTATATCCTGGTACCCGTTGACACTCATGGCGTCAACAATCGCCTCTGGTTCTGGCTCCGGTAGCGGCGGAGGCGGCGTGGACGCGAGGGACGGCGCGGGCGAGCGCGGGGGGGTGGGGGTGCGCGCGCGCAAGTGTGGCAGCCGCTCCAAGCGCGAGGTGACGCGCTCCAGGCGCTCGATCAGAGCCTCGAGCTCCGCTGCCGGGCTTGAGGTGGCAGCTGCAGGCTCGCCTTCGTTAACTATTGGACAAAGAAATAATTTACATTATCATCATGATAATTTTTAGCATCATCAGGTCATTTTAGTCTAAACCACAAGAGGACCTTTTTTAATTTACCAGAAGTAAATGAGGATTTCGCCCCACCTTTCACTCCCCACTCTGGCCTGAGGGGATATTGTCCCGGGACATCCGCGGAAATAATTCGATTATATGGACGAAATTATACAATACATTAACATTTTATTTCTGTGGAGATAAGGTAAAATCCTCCATTTGGTTCTCTTAAATTAGGGTCGTGGAGTGGGTCTGATGATGATGATTAACATTATCTTTTACAAAATAGGATTCAGATGAGCTAAGAAATTAAAATTCAATTTCCTGCCTAACTAACTATTTCCTCGTGTTTCCTATTCTGAATTGATATGAGTATGTCTCGAAAGTCAATCAAGTCTTGTGAAGACAAAGGCTCGCGTTCGCGTAGGTATAGAAAGTTTTGTGGACCTCTATCTTTCAGCAGTGAACCAATTCTGTAAACTACAATGCTGCTATTATTGAGTAAGTTTCATTGATTAAAGTATTTGATTTATAAGCCCCAGAAATAAAATTTGACTGTAAGAGATCTCGAGAATTTGTTAAATAAATTTTATTGAGTACCAATTACAAACAAAGATAATGTACAGCGCTGTCTGTGGGAGGAGCTAATTTGATTGAACGCAGTTAAATACAAGAATATTGATTGATTTCTCGAATTTTCACGGAACATGAGGGTTAAGTGTAAATGTGATTATTTGTCTGTATATCAAAATTGTTTGTTTCCCTAATATAAATAAATAAGTAAGATGATCCTTGATGTTCAAGTTATAACTTCAATTAGTTTCAGTTTCTTGTTAGAAAATAATACCTTAGACATGAAAGGTCTGTTTGAACCTTCATCTTAGTTTTAATACCTAAAAGATTTTAGAAACTGGTAAAAGTAACGCTCGACATTGAATAGAATAGTATTCTGCACCGATCCTAAATCTTTGACCTTTTTATTTACACAAGCAAGTTATCAATAAAACATTTAGATAACTTGATAATTAAATTACCTACATCAGATAGTGTAGGCACTGCTATTACTATGTTTATAATATTAATATACATTTTTAATATACAAGTACTCGTACCTAAAATATNGGGGTGTGGGGGTGCGCGCGCGCAAGTGTGGCAGTCGCTCCAAGCGCGAGGTGACGCGCACCAGGCGCTCCAAGCGCGAGGTGACGCGCTCCAAGCGCGAGGTGACGCGCTCCAAGCGCGAGGTGACGCACTCCAAGCGCGAGGTGACGCGCTCCAGGCGCTCGATCAGAGCCTTACACACGTACCTGCNTAAAATATCATCAGGCTCGTCGGTCGACTCGTTCGCCACGCCCTCTTTACCCGATGAGTTTGCACGAGACTCAAACATTTCAATAAGAACCCGTGCACGTGCAACCGCGTCCATATTAAATGGAAAATTGGAAAACTTTCTTTTCAGCAAATACTTTATTTTTCTCGCAAAATATGTGCACTTTACCGGTTTCTTATGACACTAACATCACACTGATTGGACGTTCATTATCACTAGTAAAGATACGAAGAGATAACGTGTCTTTAGACAACTCACTCAGGTTTCGTAATCTGCCGATAAGACCCTTTCTGTGGCTTCCAAGAATCAATATCTGCTTACTCATTAATAATGCTTTAAATTTCGATACTCTCGTCTCTAATTTTGATTGACAGAGTTATTTGCGTATTTGCTAATTGTAATTTACACGACTAATATAGTTGCTATTTGCTAATTGACAAAGCCTATTTGGTACAGAGCCATATTGACGAACTAAATGCCCTAATAAAACATTAAATTCGCTTAAAATTGCTCTTTTTCTGTGAAATACAATCTTACATCATGTCATCATGTGGAACGTCTATATGTATAATTGTTAAAATTTTAACGTCGACAAAACATAACTGAATTAGAAATACACATGCGTGTTTCATATTGGAATATTTTAAAGTCAGTGAAGCATCATTTCAGTCGTCTCAATCCTATCGGCTAGCAACTGCAGCCTCTATAAGTATAATGTGTTGCATTATACGCTTGAGATACATCTAACTGAAGCCGCCGAACCATGTGTACGTAATTCGCAGCGAAGTTCGTTACTTTGTGTTTTTGTATCTCAAACTCTGTTGATAGTAATCTTAATCCTATGTCTAACACTTCAAAGTATTATTAAATCCACCAGCTACTTCATTGTAGCGTTACTTTTTGTTCTTAGTCTGTATTCAGCAAATTCTCTAGTTTATTCTCGTCGAGAGCAAGTTTTGAGAAAGTACAGACAAACTATTATTGATCATGTAACTAACACAACACTTGATCTCAAATTAGCCCGAGTCTAGTATTAAATAAAATATTCTATATTATTAAAGTCACAGACAGACAGCCCACACAGTAAAGAAAAGTCGATACTAAATATATTTGTAGCGGGCAAATCTCTGAAAGTTCTGGAACTATTGATTCGATTCTGGAAATATTTCCAGCTATAGAAAGTCACACAATGGGATTTTTCAATATGATTTCACACAATAAGATGATGGTTCCATTGCAAAGATTGTGGGATTTGAGCAGCGTAATCTTATTTTCTAAGAATTTTCTGCCTCATGGGAGATGGCCATGGAAAATGGCTTATTTTAGGATCCGTTACTGGAGAAGCGAATTTCTAACTTTACGGGGATGTTGTTTCTTAGAATTGTTTAATATTATCAAAGAACTGTTTGCCAACACTTAAATTTATAACTATTTTTACAGCTTGAACCATTTAATTCACCTATAGTGGGCATAAAATTATGATTTCGTTAATCCGTACAATTGATAACCCCTTTCACGCCCCTTTAATAAAACTCCAGAAAATAATAGACTACTTAAAACTCTATGACTGAATGAAGTAATATTAGTAGAACCGATAATGCGTATAATGTATCGTGTCATCGCTACCAAATGGGCATGATGCCAGCGTAGATTTCTATTTTGGATCGTCATATTTATTGATAAATCTAAATATGTACGAACAATTGTAATTATAGTGAACAAGTGACTAATATAGAAAATCATAGGAAAGTTCTCTTACGAGTAATATCGTTTGCAATATTCTTTATTTTGCGTTGTCACAAATTTTTATACTACAATAATAAAGATTTACAAATTTTCCTTTCAAAAGAATAGGTCTCATCAGTTACTACTGTTATTTTGGTCTACATATTTGATAAAATTTCTTAAATAATATTAGGTTTGCCTAATTCGGAAAACCATATTTTCCCAAGGGTGTTGTCCTTGTTTATAAATGGCAGGCTCATTACTAAAGACACTTTATTAGACCCAACAAAGCCTTAAGGAGACAGTTATTACGTTTTTATTATTGAATTTATTGTTTCTCCCTTATAAAAGTGACAAAACAAACCTTATTTCAGTAGCCAGCTACTGAAGGTTTTCTGGTGTTTTATTGTCGTACTTTACATTAAAAATTTCGGTGTTTTAGTGTTAGTACTAGTATCCTAAACTCAATGAGAGAATCAGTGTGGTAGAGTTTAATGTGGCATGCAACCAAACAAACAATAGTATTTTAATGAAATGCTATCGATACTATATTTTCCTATCACATTTAGAACTGACTATATTCGACCCAGTCGGGATCAGTTTTGGAAAGGCACATCCGCACATCTAACCACATTGGTCCCCAAAGGAGTTCTTTAAGTTTGGCTATGCCATTTCCAGAAGGAAGGCTCATCCTAGTCCGGGCCATTGCGACGCAAACTATTGGTTATCGATATTCTTACTGCTTCCCGATAGTTTCACATTCAATACTTATGCAACACGTTATGTAGTGATTCAGTTTTTAACATAATCAACAAGTTTTATAACAAATCATCTAACTAAAGGGTGCAAAAGCATAAAAAGTCGCCTGCTAAGATTTTACAAAAAGCACTGCCTAGTTACTAAAAACGTGGAATCAATTAATTGTGCTAAAATCNATAAAACGTTTTTGCGCATGGAATATTCTCTACTCGTTACGAAATAATTAGGATCTAAAGTGCTTCTTTGGAAGACGACGAAATGTAATTTGCATTGTTAAGTACGCTTAAGATTATGAGAGTCATTCAAGGAGATCGGGGCATTTGAGAAATGGCTTAGTAAGAGGTCTTTCTAGATCAGAATTTCATGAAATTTTTCCATTTTTACATCCGCTCTAAAATTAAACCTCTCTATAATACGTATCAGAAGTATAATATTCTATTTCTCACGCAACTTTCCTGTAACCGAAGTTGGTACGTTATACATAGTATTCTATCTAACTTGTATAAGTATAACGGTACGCATTCGCAGTAAATGAAAGCCGCAAGACCACAATGCAAAAAGTGGAGGTGCACTCGAAACCGCTACGACTGGGTTACAACCATATATAGATCTGTTTGCTACAACGTGCTATCTACGTGCCTTACTAGTGAAATACGTTGAAAACTTCAAATAAAATGTAAATTTATTTAAAACGTCTATTCGGTAGAACATTTTTGCTATCTCGCATGAAGTGGCGAAGAAGCTTCCATAAAGCTTTAACTAGCGATGTGTTTCTGCGTGAATTCACAATTAAAGGCTTACTTGTCTTTCCGTAGATGACGAAAAAGAAACTAAAATTCGTAATACAGTACTTATCGTTAATATGGAAAAGTCACAAGTATTTTGAACAAGTTTTATGCGAGTATCCTTGCAGACCTTTAAATAGAAAATCGTCACCCTATTCGTCCATGATATTTTATTCGGATATTAGGGCAAAGAAGTTTTACGGCCTTGTTTTTCGCCCCTCGAAATCCAAGTTCGATTTACTGCTAAACTTTTGTTACTACTCGTTCGTTACATAAAAAAATATTTTATTTCAGAGCGGTATTGTATAAGGAAGGTCTTTCTTTAGAATAGCTGTTTTAATTAGGTTGAATATTTCTCGATGGCCGTTGAATATTAGTTGAACATCCTTCATAGTTGATAAACTTTGTAATTCTACTAAAGTTTACTAAACAAGGGCCGAGCAGCTAACCCTTTAATAACACAACTACTGTCTGTATAATTCTATAAACATCAGTTTAACTCGAACTTCTGACAATGTAGATAGGGTCTAGTCGACAGGGTTCACGACTAAAATTTTGTGAACCCACAATCGCTTTAATTATCGAAAAAATAAAAATTTACTCCACATACCTACATTAATTTGATACAATAATGTTATCTCTAAAAAGCTTTTAAACATAATTACGTAGAGTAAGCGTAATCATATTCTACCCACTCTACTGATTTTTTAATGAACATTTCAACTAATAAAGCGTAGGAAAATGATATTCATTCAGGCTTACTAGCGTTAATTTCAGTACTCCCTTTACGATTTCGTAGACGTTTATTCTCGGGAGACTGCACGGCCAAGGTTGACTAAATTACGAAACGCAAATATTGTCATGTAACCTCTGTTTACACCGTTTACTTTGTACATAAATGAAAGTAAAAATGACACAAAATCTGATGAGAATTCGGAACTTCAGATGAATAAAAATGTTCTATTGCTTTTTAAGAGCGTTTACGCCGTTTGGCGCAAAAACAGTACTTTTTCAACTCGTTACAATCATTAACCAGTAATACTATAAATATGTTATAGGCATAAATAGTTAGGCAATTTCGTCGTCTAAATAGTTAATTGAGAAAATATTGCGATTAGTTTAGTATTTAAGAATTCTATCAAGATAAGTCCACACAGGTTTTGTAAATTTCCACTTTAGCGTCAGTTTACAAGCTGAAATTTTTATAAAAATACTGTGAAAACGATTTAAAAAACATTTATATCCTATAGCATAGATCCTTGGGCAAATAGTTATCTGAGAAAATTTTTAGATTTAAGCATTTTACAATAAGAAATCACAAATTAAAAGAACGTGAAATACCCAAAAATCAAAGTGATTTTTTCACCATTATTCTTCCTTTATTCAACATAAAAATACCTTAATATAATAAAACAACATCTTCTTTAAAATATTTACTTTGAAACGATATTTAATTCATTGTTATTGTTTTGCTATAAACATTTGAAAACTATTAAAAAACGCCGCGCGCGAATCATTTCCAATGATGCCCCTTGAAACGCCGCGCTTCGCGTAAACGCTCTTAATATTTAAGAATTCTATCAAGATAAGTCCACACAGGTTTTGTAAATTTCCACTTTAGCGTCAGTTTACAAGCTGAAATTTTTATAAAAATACTGTGAAAACGATTTAAAAAACATTTATATCCTATAGCATAGATCCTTGGGCAAATAGTTATCTGAGAAAATTTTTAGATTTAAGCATTTTACAATAAGAAATCACAAATTAAAAGAACGTGAAATACGCAAATATCAAAGTGATTTTTTCACCATTATTCTTCCTTTATTCAACATAAAAATACCTTAATATAATAAAACAACATCTTCTTTAAAATATTTACTTTGAAACGATATTTAATTCATTGTTATTGTTTTGCTATAAACATTTGAAAACTATTAAAAAACGCCGCGCGCGAATCATTTCCAATGATGCCCCTTGAAACGCCGCGCTTCGCGTAAACGCTCTTAAGTGATGTTATATAACCACCCAAAGCCGGGCGGGCTACGTCCATGATATCAATCCAAGCGTTCTTCTTCTATGGGCGAAACAAAGGAAACGTCAAAACAATTTCATTTATGTTCCTTTAGGAAACATTCTTTTCTTTTGCTTTTCAAACCATCAGTTGCGAGTTCTGGATAAAATGTAGGTATAGCGTAGACTTTGAGTATCGTTTGAAAGTGATTCATTATTTCATTATTATCTTTCCAATGAAAGTAAAAATATTTTACGCATTTTTATGGTTTTTATTCTCTAGATATTAGGGTTGTGTTCCACAACAGGTTTCATATTGACCAAAGATAACATTAAGAAAAGTTAAAAATAAATACAATTGACCTCTACTGAACATCTGGTGCATTAAGTTAGCTATGACTCATATGCAGCTCCTTATCTGTTAACTGGCAAACACTATGACACTAACGAACTTCACGCGTTATCGTTGAATTCTTTTTGGTAACGCTTAACAATCCCGTGACGAGCGGTGTGTTAATAGCAAATCTTAAGCCCCCACGAGCCCTCAAGAAACTGCCTCTGATTAAAGTGAAGTAAGGTGAGACTAGCTAGCGAGATATAAGTGGCAACCTCTTAGCTCGCTCTACATTCGCAAGGTACACGACTAACTAAACGACCGACTCGCGTACATTTTTAATGAGCACATTTCTCTGAAACGTGACAGAATTCTAACACTAAATTATTAAGATACAGTATTTTACCTAAAGACACGCAAAAAGGAACAGAATTTTGTATTTCACATAATAATATATTTGAATATGAAGAGTAAGAACCACAACAAGCATGTTACGAAAAGTGATGTCAGTGTTCGTTTTCCAGCAATATTTTCCGTTCTATATTTATATTTTGCTCGGGAGGTGTGCCAGCCGGGTCAGATCAGGCCAGCAAATGCGTTAAAATATTCCACAATACTGGACTCTTTCATTAAAAACTGTTTAATAATGCATGAATTAATTATATTCCTGGGATTATTCACTATTTGAACAAACAAGAACATTATGGGCGACTAATTAACTTTTAATGAAGTTGTTTGTCTGTGCTTGATGCAAAAAATACATAAAGCAGTAGTTTTTCCTTACCATTTACCATTGTGCATTAAAAGGAAGAAAGGGTGAAAGAAAATGAAAGTCTGCCAGAAAAGGAATATAACTGCCTATAGCTCTCCTACTATTTATTCTATGCTTGCTTGCTTATGTTTATAAGATCAGAAGTAGTCATAACATGAACTTTAAAAAATTCGACGGATTTTAGGATTTGTGGTATTAATACATAACAAGTACTGAAAGAGTTTATTTATCTACCGCAAGCAAAAGTCTTGGTACTTATCGGCAAACATGTCTGCGTGTTTAGAAAATTTACATGCTCTGTTAATCATTAAATGGTACATGTTTATCGATTGTTAAACAAGAATTTACTACTATACTATAATTTAATGTCGATGAAATATGTAGAATTCATGATGCTTGCTAGCTTGCTACGAAGCGAAGATGAAATAGAAATAATAATGGATACGAAGTTAAATTTAGTACACCTTAGTTAAGAAAGTAGAAAATTCTGTAGCATCAAATAAGAACTGCACAAATGAGAATGAAATCCTGTTGATTTTTCATATATCTTTACGATTAATGTTTGTATGACAATCCTTTTACGAAATCTTGGTACACAATCGGTGTACTACAAAATGTAAGCCGAAAAGGTGGTGTCATCAGCACACCGGAATTGCGGATTTGGCATATTGGAGAGGACGCAGCGAGTTGCTAGGAAGCAGACAATAAATCACCACTGAATGCGTGTTTTTCACATCAATGGGTCCCAGACAATGGCAGGCGGAATCGATACATCAGACCCTCATCGTTTAGAGCAGGGAAATAATGTAAACAAACAAGTAAATGTACTAATAGTTTGAAAACATGAATGAGATGAGAATATCAATAAAATAATTTACGAAAATTCCGGAAAACCGCGACCGAAATATGATTTGGCCATAAAGGTATTCGAAGTTAATATGAAATCAATACAGATTTTCTATTATTAATAAGTTAAACGTCTGTAGAATCCGTAGCAATGAAATCAATACAGATTTTCTATTATTATTAAGTCAAACGTCTGTAGAATCCGTAGCAATGTGTTTTGGCAACATAATTATTTTCTTTGACGAGATTGAACTTCTCTGAATAAATTAATTTGCAGAAAATATACATAATATTTTCAAAGACAGTCCCTCCTTACATAATTATTGTCAAAGAAACAATTTCATAATCCTCTGACCCACCATTTGTCTAAAAGTAAAGAAGGTTGACAGGTTCACAAAATAACATTCCAAAAATCAACATAGCAGCTCGGAAATTTTTATAAAGGCTTTAACTTATCCTAACAGACACGAAGAAGATAATCTATTTCTTGTATTAAATACAGCCGACTGCATAATAAATCATATGATATAAGTAATGCATACAAATAAAAATATATTTCTGATAAGATAATGTCAAATCTTGAACGTTGTGATGTTGAAGAAAGTGAATAATATTATCCCGTTGTTAAACTTTTAATAAATACAATTGAATAAAAATATCCAAGCAAGAACGCTTGCTGCATAATATTATTCGACGGTTTGATATGAATAATATTAAAGTTTAATGACACATTGAAGTATACTTCTGCTAACGTTACATCCTGTGCCGAACCGGCATAACAGGGCTATCGCCGTACAGACAAAACACATTGTATTAGCTCTTCCTTGCATTATCAAATAGTCATTGGACATACGGAAGGTCAATTCCCGTCTGTAGTATTGTAAATGCTAAAATTAACTTATTTGACTGATTTTTTGTATGTAAATGATGGGTGTATTTATTCCTATTTACAGGAATACTAAAGGGATAACGGACATAATGACCTCGCTTGCAAAATGCGGGTCGGTGACGATAGGAAACCAGCTGGCTTAAAGGTTTATCCGTTTATTGGAACCGGTAGGTAAGGCTGACTAATTACTTTTTACGATAACGTTACCTGTTGAAAGGGGTAGAAATCCTAAAATCCGTTGGAATGGGCACAATTGTGAGCACTCGGTTCGAACACTGAACCGTTTTTTCACGCACTAGTAACAAACAGTATGGCAACACATACGCGTGTGAACTTGCGCGTGAGTTTCAGAACACTGAGTGTAGAGCTCGCGGGACGGATACAACTATGATGTGATGTGATTCACCGATCTGTTGTCAGCCGGCCTGTTGCTGGCTATAACGCTACACGCTACCGGCGAAGCAGAAGCGAACGCCCAAACTATCCACTCAGTGCACGAGCCTCAGTGAGCCATCATAATGACTCATTGCGGTGACGTCGGACTCGTAATGATGGTCAACTCACACAAATATCTTTGCTTCACCACAAAGATAATACGCACGTATAACATATCGAATACAGCTTATAAAGCAATCAAAAGCACGATACCTCGACTCTCGTAAATATTTCATGATAAAACAACTGTTTTTCATGAATATACCGAAGTCTTTGCCAATGTAACAAGACATGATAATAAACTGCAATTCAATCAGGCATTTTTAAGTATAAGTGCTAAGATATACTCTTAATTAGTACATAAATGTCTAAAAATGTATAAATCGCAATAACGAAATAAAGTCTTATGTTTGTATTTATGAGCGAAAATATTGTTACCGTTGCTATTTTTATTGTATCGTTGGTCACTAAAATAGAATAGATTTATGAGATAGAATAGTCAATCCATTGGACAGGATTGACGATTTAGTGATTGCAGATGCAGATGTTCGTGATGGAAAACCCGTATGTGTGGCAGCGTTAATTTTTATAATCTCTAGTAGAGAACATAGAGAATCTCTACCTAGACCTGAGTATTTAACGTTCTATTGGGCTGCCTATTACGAAGAATGTTGAATACCATGGCAAAATTTTTCCCGCAAGTTATTTCATCTGAACTTTACCGAGGTCGAAATCCCTGGGGGCCATTAATATTGACGACGAAACACAAAGAATAATTGCTCTTATACTACGAACCCATATCAAATTAAAAAATAACGAAATGATAACATGCATAAAAACTTTCATTTTATTAAGTTTACATTATATACTTTGAAAGTACTCTTTATAACCTAAATATACCTAAACATTTACTCAAATTAATACATCCATCATTTATGTGTTGAGTAATTAGAAAAATTGCAATACACTCTAATCGAAAGCTAATTTAATTTACTATGTCACACGGTGTTGGTTGGTGTCATAAAAGGGTTTGACCGGGGACACCAAATTGATTTTATTAGTCACCATAATTGAACCACTAAACCACTTGTCATATAAGTCAATATCAATTAGAACCAATTACCGGAGTATTTATCAAACAAACGATATGTGCCACTCAGAATATAGAACAAAATAAAACCCTTCTTACATTCTGAAAACATTCAATTCAATTGATAGCCTGAAGTGGCCGAAGAACTGGGATAAGAAAGGTGCTTATTTGGGATTCAGCCAACCAATATTGATTTTACCGAATACTATTTCAGTTGTTCTTCCTTAAGGAAGCCAATTTCAAGAAAAGCCTTTCGGTATTTAGGGCAGACTTTTATCCGATAGTGAACAGTCGTGGTTTCATTATTATACCTAATAATTAAATGCTTCATTACATTTTAAAAGTTGTGAAGAGATGTTTTGAATAAATACAGTTTTTTTATCTCACCTGAATCCGCAACAACAGGTCCCAGGGGATCAAACCGTACCCGATGTTCGACCGCCGCGCGGGCAGCACAAACGAGGTCCGAAAAAAACCTATGCCTACGTAAGGCTAATTCATCACGACCCACGGGCGTAGCTGGAGGCTCCTGCGGACCATCCCCGGCTTCACCAGCAGCCGCAGAACCTTCAAACACTTCATCGTCCTCCGATGACGACTCCGGTTTGGCCGGCAAGCGCGGTTCCGACATACCATTACTGCTGCTTGTTGTAGACTTTAAAATACCAGAGGACTTTCGTCTTACTCCCGGTCGCACATCAACATTAGTCCGCGCCAATTCTTGCTCAAGACGCGCTAACTCTTCTAAAGTAGCAGAATCACGACGACAATCCACAGAAAACCTTTTAAAATCTAAACGACTTCGTTTATAATCCACTGAAAACCTTTTTTTCGATAGATTCTTGAACTGAATACGGTTTACGACATCTCTATCTCCACCATCTTCTGCCGAGTCATCGAAAGCAACTTTATTTTGTTCCGAGTGCGGTTTTTCTGCGGTTTCGTTAATATCACTTTTATCAGGATCAGCATCAGCATTTTTAGGCGTAATCAACTGATCCTCTTTCTTATTCGTAACAGTGTCTGGTTCGACGTCAACATCCAACTTTTCTTTAGTTTCATTTATTTCCGACATCGAATCCATGTTTTCAGACTTTGATTTACTTTTACTGACTTTTTTGTTTGGCCGCGCACAGCAACTTTTAAACATAATTAGACTATTATATTAGAAAAATATATTTTAAGTTCTATTTACTTTCAAACATTGAATAATAAACAACAAGATAAGTAACNTTAAGTAACAGTTAATAGAAAATTGTGCTAAAAATAGAATTTGAAGTGTTATAACGTGTTTTTAATTCACGATTTGTGTAATAAGTATTGTGAATGAATTCGTAGGTTTTGGTGTCGAGTGCGATATAGGTCGGCGGCCGGCCGGGCGCGCGGCGGCGGGCGACTGTGGCACTGACGCAGGGCGGCAGACGGCAGGCGGCAGGGCGGATGCGCCGCCCCGCGCCCGGCGCATCCTGCCACCCACATAACTAGTGATGGGCCAACTCGGGAAAAACAAAACTCGATTTAACCCGAGTTAAAATCCACGTAACTCGGGTTGAACCCAAGTTACGTAACTCGAGTTAACTGGATGGACAAGTCAGTTTTTTACTTATTTTTACCAGTTTATTCCCTCAGATTCGTATTAACATTTAAAAACTAATCATTTATAATGTATTGGGAGAATCATACTAACTAAAGTAAGAAAGAAAAAATCATTTCTCAAAAACAGAACATAAAACACGAAAATCTATAACAATAACCGGCAGTTGAAAGTTAATCTATATATATAAAAGAAAGTCGTGTTAGTTACTTCGCTTATAACTCAAGAACGGCTAAACCGATTTAGCTGAAAATTGACAGGGAGGTAGTTTAGAGCCAGGAGAAGGACATAGGATACTTTTTATCCCGTTATTTATTGCCATTAACCCTTTACACACGAGAATAAAAAAGTGTCAATATTTTAATAAAACTTTACTTAGGGATTATTTTAGAGTTTAAATAAGATTAGAAAAATACGTTAAAATTTTTTGAATTTTCAGTTTTCCTGAAAGTATGCCCTCACGATAGTGAGGCTTCGGTATTATTTGTTAGTCTCACGATAGTGAGTGTTATACTATTTAGTTAATTTATTTAATGAAAACTACTAATTTATGAGCACATAAGTATTCATTTGGTAAGAGACCCCTATAAGTAAAGAGTAAGCTATAATTGAATGATCAAACGAANCAATCTTCGGTCCATGTCGGATCCATTCGGTTTACGATACTAACTCGAGTCAGAGAGAATTCAACTCGAGTGGGTTCGAGTTACGCCCAACTCGAGTTAACTCGAGTTACTTACTCGAGTTGACCATCACTACACATAACACGCAGCTCTGTGTATTGGGACGCTACATCCCTTCGCTCTCGCTACATCGCTTCGTAATCGTAGGCGCGATGTGATTATCGAAATGTAATTCCTAAAAACTTCTGAACACAGTAAAACTCAGTAAACCTCATTTATTTCTGTAAGTAGGCTTTAAAAAAGCACTTTTACACGTCCCAGTATTAACCCTACCACTGCTTCAGGACAATAAATGGGCCAGTGCTGAGAAGAAGCAGCGCAAGAAACTCAAATACAACACGGCTCAAAGAAAATCCGTGTATTTTTTGTGATTTTAATTATTCAAATAATTTTATTATGGTATTGTTCAGTAGACATTTATTTTATCTTGAAGTTTTTATTAGGTCATTGCTGCAGCAATGAGGGTTTTCGCGATTGAAAAACCCGCCAGATGGATACGTAGACGCGAGGTCCAAATGATGCATGATTGGTTATTTTTGACATGACATTTACAGATATGTCAAAATCCACCAATCACGCAGCATTTGGACCTCGCGTCTACGTATTGCCATCTGGCGGATTTTTCAATCGCGAAAACCCTCATTCAAAAAAATTCGACACGACTTATTTAAATGTTACAACAAACTATAAACTGGAAGTTTTAAGTACTTATAATTGGTTTTTCATGAAAAGCTTTAAGGCTTGGTATTTCTTNGGGGAAAGTAGTACGAGTTGATCCCCTGGGGTAAGATGATCCTTTGCGATTGTGCTGAAACTACTAACGTCATTTAGTTTCTTTCACTGGTAAAACATAGCTCTGGACACCTCCCCGCCTCAGTCAAATCGTAATGGTGGCATGAGCGATACATCGAATTTGACGAGAAAAAAGAATAATTGTGTACTTTTGATCTAAAATAGGCATGACTTTGAGCTTATGTTACTTTTATTCAAACAATGTTAAATGTAATTACTGTTGTCGTTAGGCTTTCTATTATATTTAATTTTAATATTTTGGCCATAAAAACATGGCCGCGTACTTGTACATTATTTTAGCAAATATTTAACAAAAAATGGGACTTGGGTCAAGATGATCCCTTCCTATATGTACGAGATGATCCCTGGGAATTAAAACAAAAAAGTCAATGAAGTAGGTAAAGGGAAGTGAAATAAAAGAAAGAGAACTTCATATAACTCACCTGAGTCTGAAGAAGATGATACTGAGTGGCTGTACTGAACAGAAAAGTTTTCAAGCGATACCAAGGGTGAAGGATGGATAAAATGTTATGCATGTGGAAAATGGGGCCATAAAGCATGTGCTGGGGTAGAGGGTGATGAAGCAGGTGAATTTATTTGTGATATATGCAACACAGCTCCAGCCAAAAAGTTTTTAAATTATTTAAACGCTTTTTAGCAGGTACTAAGAAAGATTAAGTTATTTTCGTAATTTAATTCGTAAACGTTTTACTTTTCTAACTTTTTAACGATTTGTTCGCATAATTAGGTACACCGAAAGGAATACAACCAGAAAAGAATAGATCATAGAATAGAATCATAGGGATCATCTTACCCCTACTAGGGGGATCATCTTACCCACAGGGGTGTACAAGATGATCACTTTGTAAGGTTTTGCAAA